GATCGACACTTTGCAACTATGAGCCAGATAGGCTATCGATGCGAACGTGAACACCCAGATTTTCGAGTTGGGAGGAAAGTTGGGCTCTGTTCTGAGCCTCTGCAAGTTCCAGAGGAGGGCCTGGCCACCTGGAGTGTCACCAGCTTGCCCAAGACCCAGTGGCCGGAGAGAAGCCAGGACCCTTGCAGCGTCCAGCACCTTCTCTGCACACAGCCCGTTTCCTGGTAGGGACTGACCACGGGGAATGCCCCGAGTGAGCCAAAAATGCCATCAGGAGGAGGAGGTGGGACAGAGAAACCTAGAGAAAGCAGCTGATTCTAGAAAATTCCCACCTGGCCTGGATTGGGCCATTTTGACGGCTGCCTCGTCCCCAGGAGGTGCTGAAGAATTTGGGTCTGGGGTCTTTTGGTTCCATGCTAAATGTTGAATGACTTGGTGAAAAGTGGTGGCACTTCCATCTACCTTCTCTCTGGTCCCAAGTCTCAATTAGGGACAGTGCTGACACTGTTTATTTACATTTGCATTTTTTCAGAATGAGGGGCAGAGGAGTCAGGCTCTGGAGGCACAGGATTGGCAAAGAATTCCTTTACTCCTGTATTTGCTCACTGCTGTGGCATGCTAAGATTTTGGAGTTTTGGTGTGCGCCTGTGCTTACAGGGTACGCAACATAAATGCAAGAATAAATAACCGTAAAGCCCGAAGGGAGCATGATATACTGCTGTGTGCAAGCCGCTTGTCTGTGACAAATGGCGTACCAGGCACCGCGAGACCACAGGAAGCCTTAATCAATGGAGATAATAGCCACCGATGCATCAGCCGTGCGGGTGTCACTGAGGGACCGACGCCAGAGAAGAATCAACGGAACGTGAAAAAGGGATTGTTTGTAAATACAATCAACAATTTTGTGTTCGTGAGAAAGCCATTCATCATTTGGAAACCACCTTTAGTAAAAGATGCACCTGGCTTCTCAGTGAGACGGGGCCATCAATCCCACCCAAGTCATGGGGCCAGCTCAGGGCTGTCAAAGGCCCGGGGAACAGACACACATATTTATTCTTATTTGAAGGCAAGTTGAGAGTCATTTGGGGAAAAAAAAAAAAAAAAAAAAAAAAGAGCCACTGAGAGCATTGGCTGCAGAGGGCACCTGGAAAAGCCACCTGGGAGCAGAGAGAGTGCCTTAGAAGAGTCTTCTTCAGGGCGCCCAGCCCAGGGCCCTGGTGGGAGGGGCTCTGTGGGCCCTGAATACCCACCACACTCTGGACCCTTCCCAAGCCACGTCTGTGCTCTCGCCCCTCCTGGACACAGAGGTGCACGTGGGGAGGGAGGGAGAGGTCTGTCTCCAAGCAAGGACGGTGGCTTCTGGGGAAATGGCACTTTTCGGGAATGAGGTCCAAGGAAAGGGGGTGGGTACAGATTATTGTCCTTGTAAGTTTGGCATCGTGGCCTGGCTCCATGGACATTTTTCTGGCCACTTTGGGGAACTAGCTTTATCCTTTGAACAGTGCGAGGTGAGGATGCCCAGGGCTCCCCAGAGCATAGTGTTTACTTGTCTGATCCCTGGCAGACAGCTGAAGGCACCTGCATGTTCTCCCCCACTGAGGCCTCCCCACGACCTTCTGCAGAAAATCCTGCTGCCGAAGGACCACCCTGGGCTCTGGAGGAGTGGAGGCCAGGTGAGGCCAGGTGGGGAGCGGGCTGCAGGCAGGGCCACGTGTGGTGGGGCAGTCATGGGCAGACAGCTTGGCAGTTCATGGCAGTGCCAGGAAGAGGAGGAGCAGCTGGGCCAGATGCCCCCCAGAAACCTGGGGACGGACACGGTCCAAGGAGCACCCGTGAATGAGGCATCATCCCACATTGCTGATGGTCAGCGGGATAAGGCCAGGGAAGGTGGTGGTGGGTGTTGGAGACCTTGCTGGGGGCCGTCTCAGTGGGGTGTGGGGACAGAAGGCTGCCTTAACGGGGATCAAAAGTGAGCCAGAGGATGGGAAGTGGACCCACGTCTGGGGAGTTCTGCTTGGCAGGGGGCAGGGAACTGGTGGGACACGTGCTTGTGGGGTCAGGGGAGGGCTGAGAGCCTTCAACAGAGGTTCGAACAGTCCAACCACAGCGACAGGAGGAGGCAGAGGGATGGCAGACACAGGCAGGGCACACGTGGGGCTGGGAGGATGCGGACACTCCCTGTGGGCTGTTTCTATGTGTCGATGACATAGGAAGCAAGGCCCCCGCTGAGAGTGGGCCGAGGAGGGGTGCTGGAGGTCACAGGAGGCAAGGAGGAGGATGGCTAAGGACAGGGGGGTGGGGCTTCCTGGTGGGGCGGGGGCCCCAGCTGGCATGTGGCTGCCCAGAAGGCAGAGGGCTCGGTTTCACCAGGGTTTAAGGGGGTGAGAGGGCGCAGGCAGCCGAGTGATGCTTTGCATACTCAGCCTCACTGATGGGCTGTGACACCTAAGAGAAGGAAAACACCCATCATTCCAAGGACTCATTCGTGACCCAATCCAGAAAGATTCAGATTCTGGATGGCGGTAACTCTGATGTCACAACTGAATACCTTGTTGTCAGACGGTTTTCGATATAAGTTATAAAGTGGTTTTCTTTTTTTTTCTTCGTGGTACGCGGGCCTCCCACCGCCGCGGCCCCTCCCGCCGCGGAGCACAGGCTCCGGACGCACAGGCCCAGCGGCCACGGCCCACGGGCCCAGCCGCTCCGCGGCACGCGGGATCCCCCCGGACCGGGGCACGAACTCGCGCCCCCCGCACCGGCAGGCGGACTCCCAACCACTGCGCCACCAGGGAAGCCCTATAAAGTGTTTTTGACACCTGCCCAGTCAGTCAACTGACAACAAGGCTCTTACCCCAAATCTGGGACCACCTAGACATAGCTAACCTCGAAAATATATATCATTGGAAAATATGCATCCTTTATTTACCAAGCAAAAAAGAGGCATAATTCAGTGGAACCAAAGCTTCCTTTTCCCTGAAAACCTGTTTCTATTTTCCACGCATGACTAATTTTTAATCTCAGTGACTGAGCGGTAATGCCATTGTCACTGATGCTGACAAGGGGGTTTTTAAAGAAGCATGTGATAGATGTTGCCTTCATGGTATCCTTTTTTGGTTATCGTTCCGTGGCGTTCTGAATAAAATGAGTTCAGCCTCCGTGGGGCTCTAGCAAATCCAGGCGCAATTGTAGATTAGATGCCATCTTTATGCAAAGCTTCCGCAGCACACACTGGGCTGCCAGTGAGAGGCCGTCGACACGACAGAAGGCTTCCGTCTGGCCATTATTCACCAAAGCAGGAAAACAGCCATTTACCTAACGTCCATTTGTTAAGAAGGCAGGAAAATGGCATCTTTAATAACGTCAAACAAAAGCACCAGAACTTATAAAACAACAACCAAATTGTAAAGTAAGGAGCATGTTTGTAATAGCCTCCTCTGTTTTCACCAGAGGTATGTTTTTAGGCGGTTTTCCTGTGATGGGGTTTTAGGGTCAGAGGACAGCCCCACCCACGCAACCATGCAAACTGGAACCCTGGGTGTCATCCTCAACTCCTCTTGTCCCCACCTCCACCATCCTCCGCTGGCCGACCTCATTGCCGTCTCCCAGGAAACCAGGCACTGCGTCTCCCGCAGGCCTCTCTGCCCCAAGAACTGTCCTGCCCACTGAGGCTCATTCATCCCTCTAAATGCAACGGGAGCATGTTGTCTTTCCTAACCTGACAGTCCCCGCCCCCCCTCCACCTGCACCATCACATCCACGCCCCGCCGGTCCTTCCCCAATCCCAGCCCGCGCACGCAGGTGCACGTGCACGCTCACACACATACATGCACGCTCACACACCTGGGCCAAGATCTCCCGCGGGGCCCTTGACCCTGGGCTGCCTCCTCGTCGCTCCTACCCACCCTGCCAGGACCCAGCTCTGCGCCCCCCACCTCCCGCGCCGCCTACGACTGGGAGTTCGTGCCCCAGACCCCCAGCTGCCCTGCCGCGCAGGAGCCCCGCCCCACGCTTGCGCCTCCTGCCTTCCCGGCGGCCCCCGCGGCGCCGAGGCGCGGCACGCGGTGGTGGCGGCGCCGCGCACGCGCGGACCTGATGGCAGGAGATGGCGCGTCGGTAGACGGTGCGTTCGCTGCGGAGCCCGAGGCTTCGAGGAGCCGCAGGTGGGACTTCGGGAACGCGCGGCGGGTGGGGCCCGGAGGGGGACGTTTTCCCCAGTCTCCCCTTCTCCGCACGACCCAGCGTGGCTCGCGGGGCCTCCTGTGCCTGACCAGCTCCCTAGGAAATGGGCGTGGACCGGCGCTGACGCACACAAATCCCTCGGTGCCCGGGCTCCAGTCCCCGCCGGAGGCCGCCCTGGAACCCGAATATCCGCCTTAGGGCCTGGGTTGCCCTCCTCGTGGAGCCGCCCGCCCCATTGCCTGAGTTCTGATCTGCCTTCTTTGTCTTTACCACCTGCTGGCGTTCATCTTGTTAACACCACGAGTTTACAGCTTTCTTTTCCTTTTCCTTTTGGTCTGATGCACCTAAAGCCATAAGTACTCAGCTGGAATTGGCAAACAGGCTGTTTTCAGTGCAGTTGTTGCCTGCCTTCAAGAGATAGTTAATTGTGACGTTTCAAAATATAAAGATAATGATACATAAAACGCGGCAAAATGCTCAGGACCTGTTAACTGAAACAGTTCTTGGAGACTGTTTCTGTAGTAATGAGGTCAAGAATGACACGCATCTCCTGGTGCGCCTGTTCTATAGAGACCTTGGGAACGGTGGGCCTTTGCTCTTCTCTTAGTCTCTTAGTCTCTTAGGGTTGATGTGAGTTAGCTGTTGATCTGTTTTAGATGTAGACTCAGCCAGTAGGACCACCGGCCACAGGCATGACAGGCCATAGAATGTCCCTGCACATGGGCCCAGGCTCACCTCCTTTCCGCCTGGCCTGCTCCTTACCTGGGGTCCTCTTTGATGCATCTCAGCTCTGTTTTCTCACAGTTGGAGACACGCGATTACAGGTAAAGAAGAGGCTATGGGAGATGGTCAAATGTCCGATTTGAAGCCATTCTCGGTGAAGGATGAGGTTGCCCTCACAAGGTAACTGAATGTTTTTGGGAAGAAGTGGCCTTTGCTTAGTGGATGTGATTTTTATTAACGAGCTGGCTCACCTCTTGAAATGCCCTAGTCTAATTGACCCCATCCCTGCACTAGTGGAAAATGGGATGGGAAGAGTGTGTGCACACAGACGTGGCCCAGGTGGTGTCAAGCAAGGAGTCTGGTGTCAGGCTGGGGAGGGAGAGGGCGGGGTGATCCTGTCGCTTTCCTGTGCAGTTTGTATTTCTTCAAGCCAGAGACATCGTTTCAATGTTGGCTTTACATTTCCTCCCTTGGGATTTGCATTAAAATTTGTTTTTCATTAAAGGAAGAGGGAGAATACTGACCAGATGAACCTAGAAAACCGGAAGAAACAGAAAGTGAAGGAGCCAAACCAAAAACATCAGGGAAGATGTGGGAAAGACCAGGTTTGAATTTTTCATTTACTGTTAATGTTCTGTTTTTAAACTTAACAGGCTTCAGTAAGTTAAATTCTTCATTTTTTTAAATCTGTAAGCCTTTCTTAGTCTCTATGGCATTTTGATAGCTTTAAAAATGTACACTTTGTGTGTAAAGTACATTTATTTCTAATTTCGGAAGGCGCGCTGCTTTCTGTGTTGTGCCTGGGCCTTGGAATCAGTTCTGGGAGGGGTGGGTTTGGTTACGCATTACTCAGAATCCTTTGAGTGGCTGCCACCCTCTTGCTGAGTTCTAAGGACCCGGAAGCTGCCGGCTGGGGGCGTCGTGGTGTCCTGGACCTAACTTGCTCACTTCCTGAGGGTCACGTTTGCTCTTCCCAGGGGCCACTTCAGGACACATTGGTGGTGGTCTTTTTAGTGTTTTAACGGAAGTTCTAACCATTACTGCAACGTGGAAATGTTCTCAGTAAAACTCTCTGTCTTCTTGTGACTCGTAGCAGTGCCTGAAGGAAGAAAGTACATTCTCCATTTCAGAAGATATCAGGTAGGGTTTGTTCTGTGTCCCTTTCCTTTGTGCAGGAGGTGAGGTAGGGTGGTGAGGATGCAGCAGTGGGAGGGGCAGCGACATCACCTTCAGTCCTGAGTCTGGCCTTGGCATTGGAATTGGGACCTGCACTCCCTGTTTTTATCCAGTCTTTGCTCTCACTTGAGCAGAAGTGAAGAATCTGGTAGAACCACAGAACGACTGGTAATGGGAGCTGCTGGCTGCCGCGCAGGAAATCAGTCTTTTGCGCGTTCTGTGAAGGCCTTCTGTGAAGGCCGAGGACTGGCCCCCTCCATCTGCTGTCGGTCCTCTCTTTTGTGGTTTTTATTTTATCAATAAATAAAAGATCTTGTCAGAAATAATTGTAAACTAGGTAACAATCAACATAACCACATCTTTTTCAAAGAATAGAACCAAAAATTGTTTAAAAGGCATTAGGCATATGGTTGTCTCTGACCTTTCTTTACCTCTCCTGTTTTCTACCACTTTCTTGTCTCAGAGGATCGTATAAATAGCTCTCTTTGTCCAGTAGAACAAAGAAAAAACCTGATGGAAAAAAACCGTGGTAGGTTTTGCTTTTGGAAACTTTGGTGTTGGAAACACGTGTGGCTTGATGACAGGATTTGCGTATCAGTTCATGGTGAAAGGAGTCCAGGCTTCAGAATCAGGCAGTTGAAGCTCTGTTGTTCTAAATAGTATTTCCAGTTTTGAATGAAGCACCTGGCCTCGGAGTACAGGATTAGTTTAATTTGATGTTTTCTCTGAGTCATGTCAAATCATGTTTATTAGTTTCCCGTAATCGGGTGGGGGGGAGTGGGGTGGGGGGAGGGTGGGCCCCTCCCTTTTCTGGCTGCCGTTTGCTCCCTCCCTCCCTGCTGGACCCCCGCTGTGAGTGGTGGATGAACTTCTGAGCAGGCCCCTGGGTATGCAGCTCACACACCATCGACGTGGGGATCGTTACGGTGAAGTGTCTCAGATGTTAAATGTTGCTGTAATTTTACAGAACTGCTTGGCCAGACAGACAGAAGCGTGTGCGACCTAGGTCTAGCTTGTGGGCCTCATCGTGCGGCCCCCGTGCTGTGAACAGAGGCAGGATTTCTCCTGTGCCTGGTGTTCTGTCCCAACTCTTCTTTTTCTCTCATGGAAAATGTCAGAAATTTTGGGAAACCTTCCTTTTGTGTTTGTTTTTGTTGTGATAACATTCACATAATGTAAAATTCGTCATTTTAACCGTTTCAGGGTGTACAGTTCCTTGGTACCAAGGACGTTCACAATCTCGGGCAGCTATCAGCACGATCTAATTCCAGAATTTTCTCATCACCTCAAAGGGAAACCCCATACCCCTCATTTCCCTCTTCCCCCAGCCCCTGACGACCTCTCATCAGCCTTTTATTTGTACGAATTGGCCTGTCCTGGGTATGTTGTACAAGTGGGTCATACAATATTTGTCCTTTTGTGTCCGGCTTCTTTCACTTAACATATTTTCAAGATTCATCCACATTGTAGCACGTATCAGCACTTCATTTTTATTTATGTAAAAAATTATTTACTTATTTTTGGCTGTGTTGGGTCTCCGTTGCTGCGTGCAGGCTTTCTCTGGTTGTGGCGAGCGGGGGCTGCTCTTTGTAGCAGTGCGTGGACTTCTCATTGCGGTGGCTTCTCTTGTTGCAGAGCACGGGCTCTAGGTGCGCAGGCTTCATTAGTTGCGGCATGCAGGCTCAGTAGCTGTGGCTCACGGGCTCTAGAGCGCAGGCTCAGTAGTTGTGGCACACGGGCTTTGTTGCTCCACTGCACGTGGGATCTTCCTGGACCAGGGCTCGAACCTGTGTCCCCTGCATCGACAGGCAGATTCTTAACCAGTGCGCCACCAGGGAAGCCACAGCACTTCATTTTTATGGCTGAAAATATTTTACTGTTTGAGTATAGCGCCTTTTGCTTATCCGTTCATCTGTTGATGGACATTTGGGGTTGTTTCCACCTTTGGGCTCTTGTCAGTATTGCTGCTGTGAACATTCCCTCACAGTATTTGTATGAACACCTAGGAGTGGAGTTGCTGTGTCTCGTGGTAGTTGTTTGCCTCGCTCCGGCACTGCCACACTGTTTCCCGGGGTGGCTCCACAATTTTACATTCCCACCAGCAGCGTACGAGGAGCTTGAGTTCTCCACACGCCTGCCAGCACTTGTTATTGTCCATCTTTTCGCTGTAGCCATCCTAGTGGGTGTGAAGTTGGTCAGTCGCCTGGTCGCGGGCCTCCCTTGCCCTCCGTAAGCCAGTGCTTGGCCCCCCAGGGCCTGTCCCCGTGGCGGTGTTTGGGTGGCAGCTGCAGGGCCTGCCCCACGCTCCTGCTCGGGCCTGTTGTGTTTGATCTCTCTGTTTAGTTTGGGTTTTGTTTCTGAATGTGTTTCTCGCAATTACTGTTTCTTCAAGGCTACTCTTGAAGGACCGTTTTTCTAAATTGACCGTTTTTTTTTTCCTTTAATTTTTAATTTTTTTGGCTGCGCAGCACACGGGATCCTAGGTCCCCAAGCAGGGAAGCGTGGAGTCTTAAGCATGGACCACCAGGGAAGTCCCATGGCAGTCACAGTATTGACAGGGGCCGGGGGTGGGCAGAGGTGGACCTGGTGGGTGACAGGGCTGGCTGTGCCATCCGCTCTTTCTGCAGCCCCCGCGGGTCTCCTGTCGGCAGGACGTGTGCCAGGGGTGCTTTTGCAGCTGCCAGCAGCTCCTTAGTGTCAGACTGGAGTTGCGCTCATTCACCCCCTGCCCACAGATGTCCTGTGAATATGCTCATGTTCACCAAACATGTTGTGAAAAATAGAGAGTCCACTGAAAAGACTGGAGACTCTGTAGTCTGTAATGTAGGTTATTTATCTGTTTTCAAAATGGTAGGCTTTCTAAGTGAGCAGCAGATTTATGTATTTACGTATGGTTTTGTATTCCAGATCTGCACAGACCGCCAAGCCTGTGAAGACGCATAACAGTGAAAAGCTTTGCAAGGAAAAAGGCCAGGTAACGTCTTCAGGTGTGATTCTCGTGAGCAGCTTTCTAGGCGCTCGTGCTTGCGTGTTTATTCTTGCAAGTGTAAGAAGACAATGGATGGGGATTTCCCTGGCAGTCCAGTGGTTAAAACTCCATGCTTCCACTGCAGGGGGCATGAGTTCCATCCCTGGTACCGTGCGGCGTGGGCAAAAAAAAGACAATGAATGACCTTACTGTCTGACTTTCTTTCTTTTTTTAAAAAAATATTTTATTTATTTATTTTTTATGGCTGTGTCAGGTCTTAGTTGTGGCATGCAGGATCTTTTGCTGCAGTGCACGGGCTTCTCTCTAGTTGTGGCATGTGGGATCCAGAGCATGTGGGCTCTGTAGTTTATGGCACACAGGCTCTAGTTGAAGCGCATGAGCTCAGTAGTTGTGGCACGTGGCATTAGTTGCCCCATGGCATGTGGGATCTGAGTTCCCCAACCAGGGATTGAACCCGTGTCCTGTGCATTGGACAGCGGATTCTTTACCACTGGACCACCATGCAGATCCCCTGTCTGACTTCCTAATAGGAATGTATTGTGAAATGAGTCTGTGGAGCCTGGGTGGGGGAAGTGGCATTGGAATAGCTGCTCCTCCTGTGCCCTTTCCCAGTGGGGTTTGTTCCCCGGGGGCAGTGCACTGCCCTGGGTTCCACTTCTGACAAGGGCCAGGAGGGCTGAGACACAGAAGCTATTTTCTGAAGCTCCTTTGGAGGCAGTAGAGGCGCATAGTCTGGATCTGTTGCTCCTCTGATGGAAGCCTCTGTGGGGAAGGGCAGGGCAGGATGTGGTGAGTAAAGCAGTCACTGGGGTCTGCGACCTGGGTGGGTGCTGCCTGTGGGGTGTGGCCCACTCACAGTGTGCTCTCTCTCCTGCACAAGGTTCCGAGGCTACAAGGCCCTGGGGACGAGAGGAAGATGGCCCTTGGTGATCTCCAGGTGTCCTCTGAGGATGGGGCACTGCAGGCTGTGCCCAGCGGCCAGGATGGTGGGAAGGCTGTGTGGCCCAGCACCCTGGGAGAGGGAGACAAGGAGCAAGTGGGCGCAAGCCAGGGAAAGGATGGGGTGAAAGTGAAAAGCAAACAGAAAAAAAAAAAGGAGAACATATCGGAAGAGCAAAGGCGGGAAGGGCTTAAGGAGAAAGGTGCTGGGAGACAGACCAAGGCTTCGAAGCTGGAGGAGGGCAGCGGGGACTGGAGGGGTGCATGTGGCCACAGAAGGAGGGCGCCTGCGGAGAGGGGGCGCGGGTCCAGCAGGGAGGCGGTGCATGGAGGCGATGGGGACGCGGGAGCCGAGAGCCGCAGGGAAGATGCCGAGAGCCGCAGGGAAGACGCGCAGACGGAGGCGGAGGGAACGTCCACGACGGAGCAGCTAGCCTACACCGAAAAGGTGGGAGAGTTGGTGGGGAGGAAGCAGCTACGAGGGAATATCGAGGAGGGGAAAGACATGTGGGCTGGAGAAACTAAGAAAGAAGAAAATGAAAAATGTGATGCTGGTAACGAGTCCGCATCAGAGACTGTGGTTTCCAGAAAAGTCAAAAAAAGGAAGAAGGACAACGTGGGCGGAGCAGGGGCTCCGGAAGCAAAGGAACAGAGACAAGGGGATGGGGAGCTGGGGAGGGATGGGCGCGCGGAGAGGGCCATCAGGTGTGGACTGGGCCACCCCGGGAAGGACGTACGGTGGGAGAAGCGACGGAGAGAGGAGATAAGTCGGTGTGGCCTGGAGCAGGGCAGAGGCCAAGAGGAGGAGCCGGTCGGTGCAACGTCCCGAGGGAGAGACAGGAAAAGGGACCACGAGGCCACCAAAGGGCCGGAGGAGGAGGGAGAAGGCAGGTGGAGATGGTACGCTGGCCCCGCCCCCGCCCTGGCCCCGGCCCCGCCCCCACTGCCCATCACCGCCCCCACTGCCCATCACCACCCCCTGCAGACCGTGCCCCGCCCCTCACCCGGTCACCACCCCTGTAGCCCCGCCCCGGGCTCGGCCCGCCTCCGCCCCACCCCCACCCGCGGTTTCTTTCACGCCCACGTGTGGGCATAAAGAGAAGGTGGCTGTAAGTGCTGGCTTTTGCTGCGGCTGTGGGCCTGTCGGGGAGGCGTGGTGGGTAACGCCAAAATACTGTAGGGCGGGGGCAGCTTTGAAATGTAGGTGTTACCGGGTGCTAGTGAGAACCAGCGTCCGTGATGCACTTGGCTCTGTGTCTCCATTGCTTTTGGCCAGTCCTTGGCGAGGTAGGTGCTGTTATCTCCACTTACCAGGTTAGGAAACTGAGGTACAGAGAGGTTAAGCAACTTGTTCGTGGTCACAGGGACACTAAGCAGAGGAGCACACATTGGACACCGCCGTCTTAACCATTCCTCCTGGGCCGTCTAGCCTGCAGCCACCAGCCGCGTGTGGCTGTGAGCTCCTGAGATGTGGCTGGTCCCGGTGGGGACATGCTGTGGGTGTAAAGTTCATGCTGACCTCAAATAGTAGGAAAAAGAATGTGAACTTATTTTTTATATTGATCACACATTGTAGTGACAATATTTTGGTTGAAATTAAGTATATTGCAAAAAATCAAATCGGTTTAAAATTCACTTGTGGCTTGTGTCACATTCCTGCTGGTCAGTGCTGTTTCACACCTTGTGAGGGGTGCGGCAGAGGCCGCAGGTGAGGCTGCCAGCTTTGGGATCAGAATGGTCTTTATTGGTATCAGATCCTGCTTTCAGCAACGATATGATTCTGGGGAAATTAGATTTTCTGAGCCTCTTTTTTCTTGTATGTGAAATGGGGTACTCTTTGTGGAGTTGCTAGTATGAGGAGACATGTGAAGGCTTATGAAGTGGGTGGGTGTGAAGTGGTCTCTCATTGTGGGTTCAATTTGGATTTCCCGGATGGGTAAGGATGTTGAGCATCTTTTGTGTTTATTGACCGTTTGTATATCTTTGGAGAAACGTCTGATCAGTTTCTTTGTCTATTTTTTTTTTTAGTTGGGTTATTTGTCTTTTTATTGTTGAGATGTAAGTATTCTTTATATATTCTAAACACTAGATTCATCAGATACATGATTTGCAAACATTTTTTCCCTTCCTGCGGGTTGCCTTCTCATTTTCTTGATGGTGTCCTTTAAAGCACAAAGGTTTGAAATTTTGATGAGTCCACTTTAGCTGTTTTATTTTTCCTTGCTTGTACTTTTTAAAAAAAAATTATTTTATTTTTGGCTGCGTTCAGTCCTTGTTGCTGTGTGTGGGCTTTCTCTAGGTATGGCGAACGGGGTCTACTCTTCTTTGTGCTGTGCTGGCTTCTCATTACAGTGGCTTCTGTTGTTGCAGAGCACGGGCTCTGGGCTCGTGGGCTTCAGTAGTTGCGGCATGTGGGCTCAGTAGTTGTGGCATGTGGGCTCAGTAGTTGTGGCACATAGGCTTAGTTGCTCTGCAGCATGTGGGATCGTCCCAGACCAGGGATCAAACCCGTGTCCCTTGCATTGGCAGGCGGATTCTTAACCGCTGCGCCACCAGGGAAGTCCCTGTTAAATCAGAATGTGAGTTCTCTAACCTTGTTTTTCTCTTTCAAGATTGTTTTGGTTATTCTGGATAGCTTGTATTTCCATGTGAATTTTAGGATTGGTTGTCAATTTCTGCAAAGAAGCCAACCTTTTGATGGGGATTGGGTTTTTCTGTGGATCACTTTGGGGAATATTGCCATCTTAGCAAAATGAGTCTTCCAATCCATAATTATGGGATGACTTTCCATTTACTTTGATCTTCTTTAATTTCTTTCGGCATGTTTTGTAGTTTAAAGTGTACAAATATTTTACTTCTTTGGTTAAGTTCATTCCTAGCTATTTTCATTTTTTGGTGCTACTGTAAATGGAGTTGTTTTGTAATTTTCTCAGGTAATTCACTGCACGTGTAAAGAAAGCAAACCAATTTTTGTATATTGATCTTGTACCCTGCGACTTCGCTGAATTAATTTATTAGCCCTAATAATTTTTTGTTGTTGTTGTAGAATCTGGTGGGTTTTCTATACACAAGATCCTGCCATCTGCAAATAAAGACAGTTTACTTCTTCCTCTCAAATTTGGATGCCTTTTACGTCGCTTTCTTGCCCGTGTGCTCTGGCTAGAACCTCCAGGACCGTGTTGACTAGCAGTGTCCAGTTCTGATCTTGGGGCCATGGCACCTTTGAGTATGATGTAGCTGTGGGGTCTTTAGCTGCTCTGTCTCAGGTTGAGGAGGGTCCCTCCATCCTAGTTTGTTGAGTGTGGCTTTTTGCTTTTATCGTGAAAGGGTGTTGGGTTTTTTTGTCAGATGCTTTTTCTGCATCTCTTTAGAGATTTTACAGTTTTTGTCCCGCCACATTCCCGTTTACTAAATTGCAGTCTGAATTTAAAACACAGTGGCTTCAGCATTCTGTGGAAGGAACAGTGGGCCTGGGCTAGAATGTACTTCCTGATTTTAGAAGGATTATAGGAGAGAATATGTGCAAGGCCTCTAAGCACACTTGGCAGAAGGTGGGCCTCAAGGAGTACCGGCTGCTGCAGTCCTAGTGCATATGTCCAGCCAGCGGATGCGCGGCTTATTCCAAAACGGTGATGACCAGCACCGTGGCCCGCCTGGGTGCTGAGATCCAGCCCTTGCAGCCATGCAGCTGTGTGCCAGTGCTTCAGCCCCCAGATGTCAGCGGGGACTGCGGAGTTGGTGGCAGTAGTGGGGGTTAGTGAGGATGTGGGCTTGTCTCTGCTGCATTCCTCTGGTGGCGGGAGGCGCGGCAAACGTGCCTGGGCCGCTGTGTACTCTCTGGGTGGGCACTGACAGGTGTGCACCTGTCCACTTCCCACAGTCCCTAAGCCGCATCTTACAGATGCAGGGGAATTGGACACCTGCCCAAGGCTGACAAATGGTGGAGCCCTGTCCACTGCTGGCTCAGGGCCCACGGATGGGCATCGTGGCCTGCTCCAGACCGGGACTGGCCCTGGAGGGCTAGCAGCTGGATCGTGCTGCCCAGGGCGGAAGTGCGGGTCAAACCCAGGGACAGTGAGTGCGGGAGGGAGGGCTCAGCTGCACAGGGGTGAGAGGTAGTAAGGGGCTGGTCTGCAGTGATTGTGTTACAGGACTTGCAGGAGGCCGCGTGGGCCTGAATGAAGGCGCCCCTGGTGTTTGCACATCGTATCCTTGCACAGCTTCACTTGTCAGGCCCTCTGACAGTGTGGAAGCGCCCCTCTTCCATGTCTGGCCTGGTGTGCTGGGCGAGCGTATGATCACAGAGGACCCACCAGGTGCCCTCGGGAGCTGGGGGGCGGAGGGAGGTGGGCAAGCGCTAAAGCCCTGTGCCGGCCCCTCGCGCAGCTCCCAGGCGGCCTTCCGGGAGGAGCCTCGGGCTGGTCATGGGCCAGAGCTTCGGGACGGAGGGGTCGGCGGGACTGGACTTGAATCCAGGGCCTGTCTGCAGTATCAGGAGGCAGGCCTGAGAGCACAGGGAAGCGGGCGGAGGAGCAAGGCGGGGACAAGGGACCGGGCGGAACCACCGTGTGCCTGCCCAGTGCCGCTGTGCAGCCTGCAGGAGGCCAGCGCGGTCCTCGTTCATCCACCAAGCCCGCCAAGTGCGCCGGGGCGGGGTGGGGCCGGCCCGAAGATGAGGGGCAGGGCGGGTGCGCCGGGCCTTTGCACGTGGGGGGCAGGTTCTCGCTCCCGGGGCTTAAGAGGGCAAACGCAGGGTGCGCCCCGATGCCCCCCCCAAGGCCCCCAGACCCGGCGGAGGGTCGTCAGCTGAGTCCAGTAAGGTGGCCGAAGACCCTGGGCGGAGGCTCCGGAAGGGCACATCCATGCTCCTCCCAGACATCTGACCGTTGCATTCGGGCGGGATGGCAGTGCAGGGGGGAGCGCATGTTGCTCTTCGGTTTCCCCAAAGGGGATCTGGGACCACAGATGCAGCACGTGCCCCGTCTCACGCCTGCTCCCCTGGGGGCCCCCATTTGGGAGTTTCTTCCCCCACTGTTTTTTTGTTTTGGTAAGTTCTGTTGCTCATGTAGCTGTGCCTGGCCTAAGCACCGCAGTGTTTGGTTTTGAACTTGATACGTGTGTGGTCTCACACTGGCCTCTCATTCCATGTTGGATTCTCAGTTCCTCCATTTCCAGGAGCTTTTGGTCCATTCATTCTTTGCACGGGCACATAGCCCGTGATCAGTTCCCCTTAGTGGCTTTTGTGCTGCGACCTGAGGCTTGCTTCTGCCCACAGCGCTCCCAAGCTCTTTCCTGCGGGATGTGGGCAGAGGCCCTGTGGTCACATGGCGGGTGAGTTGTGGCGGGTGTGGAATAGCGGGAGGGAGGTGGGGATCTCCTGTGCGTGAAATGCCACCTTTCCAAAGAGCAGGCTGGGTTCACACCCTTACGGGGCTGCGCTCAGGGTTCCTGTTGGAGTTCTGACGTCATTAACTGAGTGCTTCCAGATGGTGTCTCACCGCGGTCTAACTGGTCTCCTTCTGTGACCTAAGTCCTATCAGTACTTCCACTTTACCGCCAGGGGCCAGAGATTGGCCTTGATCACGGAGTCCCGTCTGCCTCTGGGGGCCCGGGCCCTGCTGGTGGGGGTGGGAGGGGCGGTGTCCTGGGAACAGAGGGGTCGGGCCCAGGTGTGGAGCTGGGCTGCAGTGGCCGCTTCGCTGGTGCACCTTCGCTAGAAGCGTTCCGAAAAGAGCCGCAAAGGACAGGTGCGCAAGATTGCGAAAGTAGGTTGGAGCCAGACCTGGGGACGCTGGGGCGGTCCTGAAGCGACCCAGCTGGGGGAGCTTCTCTGCCCCTTTTCCTCCAGGTCAGGGAGGTGTGCTTGTCTAACGAGAGGCGTGGTCTGAGGTCAGGCAGGGTCAGTCACCGCACCCCTAGGGGGATGACCCCTCCTGTTGCTTACCTAGCTCAGCTGGGAGGTGGTCACGGGGCGTCCAGAGGGATGTGCGGGGAGGACCTGTGCTCAGGTGTGGCGTGAGAGTCGGAACCTTCTCATGTGTCCTCCAGGTGGGAAGAGGAGAAGGAGAGCCCAGGTGGCGTGAAGTGGACGCAGCTGGAGCACAGAGGCCCATGGTTCGCACCCCCGTATGAGCCGCTTCCTGAGGGAGTTTGCTTCTACTACGATGGTGAGGACTGCGTGGGTGGCTCGAGTGACTGTGGCCAGGGACCTGCTTCTGCACCTGGTAACTGGCGGCCACCCAGGCCTGCTCTGTTGGTGGCTCTCCCACTGGGGTCTGGGCTGACCCGTGCACCTGGGAGACACTGGCCCTTTGCTCAGGAGCCAGGCTAGGCTGCTTCCAAGTCTGCAGTTCAGAGGCTCCCTGAGACATCAGGGGGGCCCTGCCCATCTGCAGCCTGGTACCCTCTCAGAACTGCCGTGCTTGCGGGGGTGGGGGCTGCACATCCAGTGCCCGATGAACCAGGCGGTGTCCTTGAACTCGCCCAGCTTGGTTCTGCCACCCCTGCCTTCCTGCTGTGCTGGCCCACGTGGGCCTGCATCCAGAAGGACCTTCTGGGGAAGGGCCTGCATCTCTGGGTCCCTGGGTGCTTGGAGCAAGCTGCCTGCAGGCTCCCAGCTGTTACCGTGGGCATGTGCTGACTGGCCCGACCCCGCACTGCCCCTCCCCTGGGCCCTGGCCCTCTTCCTCTCCACCCCTCTGGTTAGGAGCGTCTGCTTAGTTGTTCTTTTGTTGTTCATTCTTTTGGCTGCGTTGCTGCACGTGGGCTTTTCTCTAGTTGCAGCAAGTGGGGCTTCTCTTATTGTGGAGCACGGGCTCTAGGCGCGTGGGCTTCAGTAGTTGCAGCGTGCGGGCTCTGGAGCACAGGCTCAGTAGTTGTGGAGCACGGGCTTAGCTGCTCTGCGGCCTGTGGGATCTTCCCGGACCAGGGCTCGAACCCGTGTCCCGTGCATTGGCAGGTGGATTCTCAACCACTGCGCCACCAGGGAAGCCCCTTCTGCTTAGTTTTGTGCTGCTAGTTTGACCTGTTTCCCCTCATTTTCTGCATCTCTGCTAGGGTAAGCCTTCTGAAGGTGGCCCTCCGCCTCTCCTGGGTCAGACCAGGCCCTCGGCAGGGCATGCGTGGGCACTGCACACAGGCCAGCCTTGGTCGCTGGCAAGTCGTCCCGGCTCCTGCCAGGCGCTGCCACAGGGAGGCCTTTGTGGACGGCAGGAAGGACTGCCTCCCCTCCTTCCCCTCCTCTCTCGCTGGGGCTCTTGTAGTGCTTGCCTCCTTGGGGGATCTGGTGACCCCGTGGGCTCCTGCTGGGTCACACGTGCCTGTCCCTGGGGGACACTCGGCCAGCACACACAGCCACACTTTTTCTTTGTTTACCGCGACTCCATCGACGTGGGTGTTGGTTTAGAATCTGGTTTTCCGAGCTAGACTAGATTCCGTGACTGTCAGAGCCCGCCCTGTGCCTCGTGGGCACCTGGGCGGCCCAGACTTGGGGAGGGGGCGCTCGCAGGGCAGGAGCTGAGCCCCTCGGGCTTTGGCTGCTCAGCTAGTTCTCTGTCCTCCCGAGAAGCTGGTTTTGGGAAGAATTGTGCTGTTTTATCCCAAGTGCCTTTTGCTTACTATCAAAGTAACGTATATTTGTTTTTCCAACGTTTGTGATAAAAATCTTCAAACATACACAACAGTTGAGAGAACTCCGTGGTGAAGCCCCCGCTGGCCTTTGCGCTGCTCTGCTGCATCCCTGCCCTCCACTGAGCCGTCTCTCATACTGATTCTTGGAGTAAAATGTCGGAAGTCATTGGGCAGATGGGAGGGTGTTTAAAAGGTTGCAGCTGCTACAGTTATTCACATCTTTCTGCTTCGGAGCCCTAACGTTTGTCTTACTTTTACGTTACGTGGCGATGTGTGTCCTAAAACTTCTCGTGTTTTTCTACTTTTTTTTTTTTTTTTTTTTTTTGCGGTACGCGGGCCTCTCACTGTTGTGGCCTCTCCCGTTGTGGAGTACAGGCTCCGGACGCGCAGGCTCAGCGGCCATGGCTCACGGGCCCAGCCGCTCCACGGCATGTGGGATCTTCCCGGACCAGGGCACGAACCCGTGTCCCCTGCATCGGCAGGTGGACTCTCAACCACTGCGCCACCAGGGAAGCCCTCTACTTTTTTTTTTACGGTACGCGGGCCTCTCACTGTTGTGGCCTCTCCCGTTGCGGAGCACAGGCTCCAGACGCGCAGGCTCAGCGGCCATGGTTCACGGGCCCAGCCGCTCCACGGCATGTGGGATCCTCCCGGACCGGAGCAGGAACCCGCGTCCCCTGCATTGGCAGGCAGACTCCCCACCACTGTGCCACCAGGGAAGCCCCTTCTCCTGTTTTTCAACTGTAAATTTCCATGTAAGCGTAGCAGCAAAATAAATCATTAAAGCAGTATAAACGTGAGCGATTCTGGCCGTTGACGCCTCTACAGAGGCCTGGCCTGTGCTCCAGGATGCTTAAGCCACACCTGTGCGTGGCTGTGCTTGTCTTCTTAAATTTAGAGCCTTCTCCTGAACTAAAAACGTTGGCTATGTTACGATACAATATGACGTGTGTAACCAAGTGTGACTTAAGGGGCAGGACGTTGTGGGTCGGCTCCCTAAATCAGTGTATCTTCCGGCGTCTCCAGGGAAGCCCATGGAGTTGAGCTTAGCAGCTGAGGAGGTTGCCACGTTTTATGGGAAAATGCTGGATCACGAATATACAACAAAAGAAGTTTTCCAAAACAACTTCTTTAGCGACTGGCGGAAGGTACGTGCTGCGCGGCCGCGGTCTCTTGGTGTCGGCCTGCTGCTGTCAGATGCTTGCCCACCCTCACTTCTCTCCAGTGGCTGGAAGCCCAGGCAGAGCCGAGCTTGGAATCCCTAGGAAAGGGAGGTTGCGGGGTGCCAGGAGTGGCATTTCCTGGACCCTAGGAAACAGAGATACTCGTTGGCAAGCTATCTGAAGATAAGGTGCTAGTTGCTTTTTCTTTTCTCATTAAAAAAAAACAAAACTGGGTTCTGTGGGCATCTGCACTCATCTTGGCTATACCTGTGGACTCCGCCCTCATAAAGCGCACCCCAGACCCCCTTCCTGCTGCTTTGGGCAGGACACCAGTGCCGCGTGTGCCCCTTCCCGGCTGGCGGGCACCTGGGTTCTGCCACAGGGTGTGGTGCGGTCTCACAGCTACCCCTGCAGGGACCTGGGGGTTGGTGGGGCTGTGGGCTGTGTGTGTGTGTGGCTGGACTGGGGACCACCAAGCACGTGTGTGTTCCACCGCGCGGGGGGCGGTGGGCCGACTTCCCTGGTGGTGAGTGAGGGGCCCCTAGTGCCATGCACGGTCCACGCAGCAGCCAGAGGGGGCGGTTCTTCGGATGCGGCCACGTGGCCCAACTCCGAAGGCCGCTAGGAGGAAGCACTGGGGCCTCAGCTCCCCGCCTGTCCACCTGCACACCTGGGCCACCTGCCTGAAAAGGCTCTCTTTGGGGGACAACTGCAGAGGCTGCTGGTCGGGGTGGCCTTGGTGCCTTTACCCAGAGTCTGCTCCTCCTGCTTCTGGGATGTCAGCGTCCCCTGTGGAGTGGGACCCCTGCCGCGGTGGGGGGGCCCCGCTGCCTGTTGGATGTTGAGGGCACGTGTCTGATTTTGGGGCAGGAAATGACAGCAGAAGAGAGGGAAGTAATCAAGCACCTGGACAAGTGTGACTTCACGGAAATCCACAGATACTTTGTGGACAAGACCGCCGCCCGGAAGGCCCTGCCCAAGGAGGGGAAGCAGGTCGGGCTGCTCGGGGGCTCAGTCTGGCGTGGGCCCCTGGGGCCTTGCGTGGGAGGCTGCTGGTATGCAGAAGACGACCCCCTCCTCTCACAAAAGCCGTTCCTGTGTGATTCTTCTAGACGAGACCCCAACAGGGTGTGGTGAAGGGGCCTCTGATTCCGCTCCGTTATTCTCAGACACTTTTGAGTTACGTGCCCCTAAACACATTTAAAAAGTGCTCCGTCCACCCAGAGCACGGGGGACAGTGACCCCGCCGTGTGAACTAGTGGCTCCGTAGTTCATGCTCCGTGGTGACAGTGGACCAGCACAGCTGCAGCCGGGAGCTGGGGGGTGGGCGCCCCGCCCTGCGCTCGGCCTGCCTGCCTCGCTGGGCCTCCCGGGGTCCCGCAGCAGTGAAGGGGCTCTGACGAGTCTTGTGCACCCGGCAAACGTGGGCACCAGTCTCGTCCTGTCTCTTCACCACTGATGCCTACACGCTGTTCTATGAACGCAGAAGCTCAAAGAAGAGGCGAAAAAACTTCAGCAAGAGTTTGGCTACTGTATCTTAGACGGGCACCGAGAGAAGGTCGGCAATTTCAAGACCGAGCCCCCTGGGTTGTTCCGGGGCCGCGGCGACCACCCCAAGATGGGGATGCTGAAGAGGAGGGTCCTGCCGGAGGACGTGACCATCAACTGCGGCAGGTGCGCGCGGGGCGGGGGTGGTGGTGGTGGTGGTGTTTGGTCCTGCCTCTCACCCGGGGGAGTGGGGCCCGATGCAGGGTGTGTCTCCGTCACTCCAGGCTCTGTGGGCCGGGCGGGAGGGCACCTTCCCCACAGATGGACGCTCTGCGGCAGCCCACGTGCTGTTTGCTGAACCAGCTCTTGTCACTCTGCCCCCTGCTTGAGGTTTCACTCCACCAAGAGAGCGTGTCCGTGTCCTTCCAACACAGTTTTCCGTAGTTGAGGTGATCGAGATGGTCTGGTAACACGTGAGCGTTTGGAACTTGCGGGCCACGCTCCAGCAGGAGCTTCTGTCCCTCCGCTGCGTGGACCGCGGCTGAGCCGGGTTGGCAGAAGCATCCTGGGAGCCCGGGCCCATCAGGAGCCCAGCGGCGGCTTGTGTCCCATGGGGCTGCTGAGCTGGCAACGTGTGTGGCCTTGGGGGTGGCCGTCCCGGTTCACGTGTGGGAGCAGCGGCTCTGAGTGAGCCCCTCACACGCCTGGCGACACAGAGGCCGCGATGTGAGGGTGTGGCCTGGGCGAGGAGGCACCTGCAGTGCTGGCGCAGTCGCAGGAGGCGGCGGCGTTTGGCCGGTGTTTCAGGGAGCAGGGTCTCACATTGTCGGGTTTGGGTCACTCTCCTGCTGCAGGGACTCCGAAGTACCCGAGCCTCCGGTAGGTCACCGGTGGAAGGAGGTGCGGTGCGACCGCACGGTCACGTGGCTGGCGGCGTGGACAGAGAACGTGCAGAACTCCGTCAAGTACATCATGTTGAACCCCAGCTCCAAGCTGAAGGTGAGCCGGCTCTGACCTGCTGCCCCCGGCTGGGCTGGGCCGCTTTGGCAGGGAGTCCCTGAGATCGTGGGTGTTAGCAGGCCAGTTTTGAAGTGATACCGTGTCCAGCGGCCGTTTGTCTTCAAAAGCAAGGGATTTAGATTTACACTGTCTTTAAATTTCGCGGAGTTTGGAGTCTGCTCTGCAGCCCTGAGCCGAGCGGGTGAGAGCGGGCCCGGGAGGGGGGTCGGCAGTTGCCTGTTTGAAGGGATCACCAGGGTTCTCTCTGCTACTTGCTCCCTTCGTTAGGGGGAGAGAGACCGGGAGAAGTATGAAGTGGCTCGGCGCTTGAAAGGAGTTGTGGGCGAGATCCGTTCTCAGTACCGGGCCGACTGGAAGTCCCAAGAAATGAAGGCGAGACAACGCGCCGTGGCCCTTTATTTCATTGACAAGGTGCGGATGGTTCCAGGCTTTCCCGCCTGCTGTTCACAGATGCTCCAGTCGGTTGCAAAGACCTGGTTGGACGGGCAGCTGGGGGAACCGTGGGGCTCGTGTGTCCTGAGCCGGAGCCTCGGGCAGGTGGAGGGGTGGGTGTGTGCCTGAGTGCGTACGTGTGTGCGCCCGTCTGTATGTTGTGTGCCTGAGGGGCGTGTCCGTCTGTGCCCCTGTGTGTGTGCACCACGCCCTGATGGGCCCCGTCCGCTCAGCTGGCGCTGCGAGCCGGGCATGAGAAGGAGGAGGGCGAGACGGCTGACACGGTGGGCTGCTGCTCCCTGCGCGTGGAACACGTCCAGCTGCACCCAGAGGCCGATGGCTGCCCGTACGTCGTGGAATTCGACTTCCTGGGAAAGGACTCGATCCGCTACTACAACAAAGTGCCGGTGGAGAAGCTGGTGAGTGCCTGGTGTGGGCGGTGGGTTGTGCCCCACGCTCGCCCCTGAGATCTGGGCGCTCTCTTTTGGGGAGCATTGGGAGGGCGCAGGGCCACGAGGCCCATTTGCCTGTCCCGTCAGGCTTGGTGGCAAGGCCGAACGCCCGTAGGCTGAACTGGACCTGCCCTCCAAGGCGCCAGCGCCGCCATTGCTCTCCTGGTGGGTTAGGGTGGCATTCTAGAGGCCAGGATTCCAAGAGCAGGGTGTTGGCAGGGCCGTGCGCCCTCTGCGGCTCTGGAGAGAAACCTTCCAGGCCCCCTGGCCTCTGGAGGTGCCCGTGCATCTTGGCGCATTGGCTCGAGGCTGCGGCAGTGCAGCTCTGCCTCCGTTGTCCCCGTGCATCTGTCTCTCTTCTTGTGAGGACACGGTCCTGTTGGAGTTGCCCCCCCACACTGTGACCTCGTCTTGACTCATTGCATCTGCAAAGACCCTATTTGCGAAAAAGGTCACGTTTTGAAGTTTTGGGAAGGACGTGAATTTGTGGGGGACACTGTTCACCCCAACGCACCTGGGAAGGGTCTTCTGGCCGCTGGGCATGCAGCTCGCCGTGGTCACTCTGGCGGTGTCCCCGGTCTCCCCTCTGTGAACGATGAGCTTCAGGGGTTGAGCCTGCTGGCTGACGGCCATGCCCACAGCGCCTGGCCTCGCCCCTGCCGATGGAGGGACGGATGAAGTTGGCGGGGGGGCGTGGGGGGTTAAGTCTCTGGTTTGCAGAGGGCTCTGATGGGAAATCAGGATTTCCACTCCTTCTGGAGTGACGAGCCCTAGAGTGTCAGTCGCCCTGGCCTCCGTCCGGGTGGGCCCCGTGTCACAGCAATGAGAGCAGACCCAACACTGACCACCTGCAACTTACACACACCTTACACAGACATGGCTGCCCGAACACGGAATGGGAAGTCTGGGGAGACCGTCGAGGGTGACAGAGAAACACCCACTCGGGAGGGGCTGCACAGCGCGCCCAGGCATCTGAAATCTGTTCCAGGGCATGAATTGGCGGGGAGCCACAGGTGAAGAAAGGGAGAGGCTTTCCTTGGGGCAGGAGAAGGGGTTTTAGGATCACCACATGTCTCAGTTCAGGCCGCTCTGGTACAGCGCCTGGCCTTGGCACCCCACTAACAGTGTTTCCGTCTCCTGGTCTGGAGGCTGGAGTCGGGGGCTGTGAGCCGGTGAGGCCCCTTCCTGGCGTGGCCGTGCTTTCTCACTGTCCTCACGGGGCAGAGGGCGAGGGAGCGCTGGGGCCACTTTCCTAAGGCACTAGCCCAGTCAGGAGTCGGGGGACTCGGGGGTCGCGGTGCCGAGAGCGGGGGCTGTTCCGGTCACTCTGGAGCTGGGCACCTGGTGTCCAGCCCCGTGGGGCACACACAGAGCTGCATGGAGAGACAGGCCCAGGCCGACACAAGCCGGGAGAACGTTTGCGCTCCCTTAGAAGGACGGAAAGGAAAGGGAGGGTGGAGGGAAATCGGACAAAGGGACCTTGAAGGTCCTCTGAGGCGCTGTGGTGTCAGACGAGTCTGACTGTGGACGTGGGGTCACCTGGAGGGACCTGGCGTGGGTGAGCCAGGGTGTGCATTGTGAGGGGACGGCACCAGCCTCACGACGGACAGCAGCCTGGACACGTGGCGCGTGACCCTGTGGTGGTGCTGACTGCTCCCTGGGAGAAACCCAGTCTGCTGGTCTCCCAGTTCTGCCGCACAGCTGGCCCTTCGCGCCCCTCGTTTACCTCCATCTCCTTGGCCCCAGGAGGCTTCTTCCTGCCCGGGGCACGAGGGGGTCTTTGTAAAGGCTTCTTCTCTCTGCCGCAGGTGTACGAGAATCTGCAGATGTTCATGGAGAACAAAGGCCCTGGGGATGATCTTTTTGACAGACTGACCGTAAGCCTGGGGGGCTCAGAGCAGTGCTGATGGGGTGACCCAGGGCTGCAGCGCAGCTCGGCCTGTCTGCGTCCAGAAGGGCCAGGCTGACGCCACGGGGCGAGCGCGAGCGCCGACTGGCACGTTCACGTTCTCTTGCACGAGAAGGCTGAGGGCCGTCTGTCTAACCACCAGCTTCCTTCCACCCAAAGGTGTTGGGGCGGGGCGGGAAGAGTGCTATGAAACTGTCCCCAAAGGAGACCATGTTTTGAGACCCACCTTCTTCTCCGTGTTCAGACCGCCAGTCTGAACAAGCACCTGCAGGACCTGATGGATGGCCTGACGGCCAAGGTGTTCCGGACCTGCAACGCCAGCCTCACCCTGCAGGGCCAGCTGAGAGCGCTGACCAGAGGTGAGAGTCCCTGGTGTGGGGACAGGGCGCCCACTTGTGGGCTGGTGCCCAGCTGCTGGGTTGGTACGGGATGCCTCGTGGCCGGCGTCCAGGGCAGAGTGGAGCTCCCCTGGCCTGCGGGGACGGGTCAGGGATGTGCAGGTCCCCAGGCCGAGCCATCCCCGCAGGGCCACCCGCACGGTCAGGCCCCCTGCCCAGTCTCTGCGTCTGCTCCTCGGCAGAGTCGGTTTTGAAGCGCCTGTCCAGCTCTGCGTGTCCCCCCATCGTGTGCGGGAACCGTCTTCCTGCCACTCCCACCCCCAGCGGGGGCTCCTGGACGTGGGCCTGATGCTCTCGGGGGGCTCTGGGGAGACCTCTTCTCTGCCTCTGTTGGGAGGCCCTTGGACTAGGTGCGGACCCTGAGTCCTGCCCTGGGAGGCTCTTCCTCGGGGCGGCAGCGGCTGTTGTCCTGTGGCGGCCGCTGCGTAACAGACTCCTGTTTTCTAGCTGAAGACAGCGTCGCCGCTAAGATTCTGTCTTACAACCGAGCAAATCGGGCCGTTGCCGTTCTCTGCAACCATCAGCGGGCGACTCCCAAGACCTTCGAGAAGTCGATGCAGACGCTTCGGTCGAAGGCGCGCGGCGGGCACGGCGGGAGGGCCTCTGGGGCGACTGCGCGGCTCCCCTCCTCTTCCCTCCCTGGGAGCGCACGGCCCTCGGAAGGGCTTGGGCACATCAGGGCTGCCCGGGGCCAGGTGCTGACCAGGAGGGAGAACCGGCTAAGGGAGGGCCAGAGGCCATCCTGCGCGGCCTTCTGGTGTGGAAGGGCCTCTAGCCCAGGAGGGAGGTCAGCGGAGCAGGGGGCCGGGTCTGGCTGGAGCAGGTGGTATGTCTGGGGCCGCTTGGCCTCACCCTGTCCCCTGGCCACAGAGTGACCAGTCAGGACCAGCGCTTCAGCACCCTGAATGGGCAGACGGGTACCCAGGGGACCTGCTCAGCTGGGCCCTTTCAGGGCATAGGGCCTGCAGGCTGTGGACGGTGGTCCCTGGGGCTGGACTAGGGTAGGCAGGAGCAGCCCTGACTGGGCCCCTCTTCTTTGCAGATTGAGGCGAAGAAGAAGCAGGTGGCCGAGGCCAAGGCAGAGCTGAAGAAGGCAAGGGCCGAGCACAAATGCAGAGGGGACGGCAGGTCCAAGAGGCAAGTGTCTGGAGGCCTCGGCCCATCCCAGTCGTGGGGTTGGCAGTGAGCCTGCTTTTGTCTTCACCAGTTCTCTGGTTTTCTTTTCAATCGTATTTTCTGATTCAAAAGATACAAACTATACTTGCGCCAAAACGTGAAGCAGTGCAGAAGTGCAGGAGGAGAAGCGCCTGTACTCGGGCACCCGAGCTCTGGGCCACGTGGTTCTCTCCTTCAGAGGCTCTCGGCTCTGGGCTGTGGGCGAGCGGTTCCGGCTCGTTCACAGAGCTGCGCAGCCATCGTCACCGTATATTTTAGAGCGTTTTCATCACTGCAAACAAACCCCCTCCCCTCCCCCAGCCCCTGGACATTCGCACAAATGGAATCCCACCATCTGTGGACCTTGTCTGGCTTTTTTCGTTTAGCGTAATGTTGCTGAGGTCCACCCGCGTTGCAGCCCGTCAGTGCTTCAGTCGCCAAATATTCCGTGTGTGGCCAGACCACGTTTTACTGTCCATGTGTCTGGACGTTTGGGTGTTTCCACTGTGTGGCTTTCGTCGTAGAATCGTCGGGTTACTCTGTAGCGCCAAGGTTTAGCGTTTTAAGAAAGCGCCACCTGCTGTCCAGCGCGCTCACGTTCTCACCGGCCGTGCGCTGGGGCCCAGTTTCTCCACATCCTCGCTGGCACTGTTCTCGTCTTCCCTCGTTTTGGTTACAGTTCGGCGGATGTGGGTTTGCTTTGCGCTTCGCCGCTGGCTGACGACGTGTGAGGCTCTGCTCTCTGCTTACTGGGCGTTTGTGTGCGGTCTTTGGAGAACTGTCTGTTCAGTCCTTTTTCCGTTTTTCAGTTGAGTTCTTTGTTTTTTTTTACTGTTGAGTTATAAGAGCTCATTATTCACTCCAGATACGAGTACCTTTTCAAATATATGATTTTTTTTTTTTTTTTTGGCCGCGCCACGTGGCATGCGGAACTTCCCCAACCAGGGATTGAACCTGCGCCCCCTGCAGTGGAAGCGTGGAGTCCTAACCACTGGACCACCAGGGAAGTCCTCAAATATATGATTTGAAAAGACTCTCTCCCATTCTGTGTGTTGTCTTTTTACTCTCTTGGTAGTGTGCTTTGAAGCACAAAAATCTTGATAAGTCTAGTTTTCGTTGCTTATTCTTTAGGTATAATGTCTAATAAGGCTTTGCCTGACCCGAGGTCATAAAGATGCATTTCTAGGTTTTCTTGTAAGAGTTTTATAGTTTCAATGTTTGCATTTAGGTAGTTGATCCATTTTGAGTTATTTTTTGTACATGGTGTGAGGTAAGGATTCCACTTCCTTTTTGCTCACGTGGACCCGGTTTTCCCAGCTCCACTCCCACCAGCTGAATGGTCTTGACACCTTGTGGAAGATCAGCTGATGGCAGGTGTTTCTGGGCTCTGTTCTGTTCACATTCATCTGTCTGTCTGTCTTCCTGCCAGTACCACTCAGTCTTGATTCCTGGAAGTTTGAAATCAGGAAGTGTGAGCTCCAGTTTGGTTTTCTCATTAAAGATTGTTTTGGCTATTCAGGGTCCCTTGAAAATCCAGATGAATTTGAGGGTTGGCTGGTCACCTTCTGCAGGGAAGTCAGCCTGGATTTTGATTGGGGTGTGGTGACGCTGTAGGTCAATTTGGGAAGTACCACCTTCTTAACAAGGCCAAGCCTTCCAGCCTGTGAGCACTGGGATGTCTTTTTAGATGTATCGTTCTTCTTTCATTTCTTTTAGCAAAGTTTTGGAGGACAAGTTTTGCACTTCTGGGGGTTAAGTTTATTTGAAAGTGTTTTATTTTCGTTGCTGTTGTAAATGGAATTGTTTTCTTAATTTCACTTTTGGGTTGTTCACTGCTGGCTTTGTTGCATGTCCCCGAGCCCACCCACAGGTTCAGTGATTCACCAGGAGGACTTCCAGGACTCGGCATTGAGCTGAGATCCCTCACAGTGTCAGGACACACGGACGGTTCTCAGGCCCGCGGGCCGCTGCACACGACTCATTCCCACTCCCTGGGCTCAGAGCCGGCGCTTCCGCCCTCCTCCCCAGGGACCAGGATCTCAGGAGTGTTCCCCCCTGTTGTTACAAAATCATGTTCGTGGTCAGTCATCATAACTTTGCATTGCTTTCTTTCCCAGACCTGTCATCTGGGTTTTGTGCACAAGGGGCAGAAGTGTTGCCACAGAGAAACGTTTGTATGCATCTGGGCCAGAAAGACACACCACATCCAGGCGCTGGTGGGACGGACGCTGGATTTTTCACAGAGGTTCTCATGTTCATGTAATGTCTGCGTGTGTACGGCTGTATCCTCCTGCTGATCCAGTGAGCAGCAGAGACAAGATGGGCTGCATCTGGGGGTCCACCTGCCCCACTGGGCTGTGTGCCGGGGCAGCCCCCTCCCCTGCTACGGGCTGCCATTACCTGGAGAGTCTCAGGTGGAGCGCCGAGGCATCCCTGGGGCGGCTGTCCCTGTGATGTGCCCCCCCTGCCCCCCGCTGGCACACATGCAGGATCCACAGCCTGGGCCGCGGGCAGTCTCTGCATCAGAGACACACGGCCTGGCGCACTTGATTTCTGACTGCCCCGCCAGAAAAACGGGCCTTTTCCTGGGGGCATCTGAAGGTGACCCCAAGGTCCAGCCAGCAGCTATGTCTGCATGGTTAGGGTCCCACGAAGGGGTGTCCTAAATCTGCCAAAACCCTGGGGTCTGAGGTCCAGTCCTGGAGCCTCCGTCCCACTCGCTCTCCTGCTGCAGACGGTGCTGGGTTTCTGCCTAGAGTCAGGCCCAGGCAGCAAGACCCGAGATCCCCAGCAGACCGGTTGCTTCCCTGCAGCAGCAAAGTGGAGACGCCGCAAGTCCAAGTCACAAGGCTTCCCTGAGCCCTCAGTCGCTTGTCCATCCGGAGGTTAGAAGTTGATCTGCTCCAAAGGGCACACATCAGGCCAGGTCAGCAGCCTGGGTCCCATCTCACGAGAGCTCGTTAGAAATCCACCCAGCTCTCCAGACTCCAGGACGTGTCTCCCTCTCGGGAGAACCCCCTTCCTCACACGGGCTCCTTCCCCAGAGATGTCAATAGGCAAACTCAGAGTAAGAAACCATCGTTTATGGAGATGTGTTTGCTGCACTCAGAGTTTGAATTCTAACCCTCCCACAGGCTGCAGAGCGCGGCTGTTGAGTCCCCTTGACACTTTTCCTGCGCATCCTTTCTGATTGGGACGATTTCTCTGGCATTTATGAAGTTACACGGATTTTCCTTCTTCTTTTGGCCGTGCCGTGCAGTGTGTGGGATCTTAGTTCCCCGACCAGTGGAAGTGCGGAGTCTTAACCACTGGACCGCCAGGGAAGTTCCAGCCATTTTACATTTTGTGTCAGCTTTTTACTCTGCATCCAGATGCGGTAGCCACAAAATACAGAGCCATTGCAAGAACTGTACTGTTTTTCTTTTTTTCTTTTTAATATTAATTAATTTATTTAGGCTGCTCCGGGTCTTAGTTGTGGTATGCGGGATCTTCATTGCGGCACGCGGACTCTTAGTCGCGGCACGCATGCGGGATCTAGTTCCCTGACCAGGGATGGAACCGGGCCCCCTGCAATTGGGAGCACAGTCTTACGCACTGGACCACCAGGGAAGTCCCTGTCCTGCTTTTTCTTACTGCTAATTTTTTCAAATCCCTAGCAGGTAAACCTTTACAGGGTTAACGTTACAGCTGCCTGGGAAGATCCCAGCTGGAATGGGGGGTGGGGAGGGAGAGGGGAGAGCAGCAGTCTTTTCTAAAACTTTGTTCCAGGCTTTTCTGCTTGGAGGGGAGAGCCGTGTAAACTTCTAACATTTTTGGCCGATCCAGAGCTCAGTTTTGGGAATCTTTGGGTCCTTTCTCCCACCTGGAGAACAGAAGCCCAGGCATCACCTGAGCTGTATTTTCGCCCCTCACTTCAGCCATGGTGGTCAAAAGCAGCCTGAGGATCTGAGCCCAGTCAGCTGGGGTTGGACCTGTCATCTCCAGGCTCGCCTTCCCACAGCAGGCAGCAGCTCTCCTGCTGTTGCACACTGAGCGAGACTCTGGGCCACTCAGGGACCAAGGGCGTGTCCTGCCCCAGCCCTTCGTCCTTCCTTTCCAGAACAGAGCTCGTGCCGTGTTTCATGGGTCACAGTGCCAGCGAATCCCACTTTCCCGCTGACTCCTCAGACCACCTGTAGGTTCAGTGATTCCGTAGGACTCACAGGACCCTGCACGGTCACGGCTGTGACTTCGTGCAGTGAAAGGTCACGTGGGCACCCTCTGCCTGGCACATCCCGACCTTCCAGACTCCGGAGGAAAGCAGGAGTTCAGCGACCTGTACTGTCGGTACACAACTTCGGGCTCCGTGAGCCTTTCTCTTCTTACTGGTTAGGGAGGTGGGCGCCCTCCCCGACATCCAGCCTCGTAGGCAGGCCTTTCTCTCCAGGGTTGGTCGGGCCTGCTGTGTTGACTCGTCCTCTGCAGACCACACAGAAGTAGAGTTGATGCGTGTGGGTTGGCCTCACACCCTGCACCCCACTGAACTCGCCTGTTAGCCTTAGCAGTTTCTTGGCGGACCCCTTCAGGTTTGAGATCACGTCGTCCTCAAGCAGACAGTTTGCGTCTTCCTTTCCAGCCCGGACGCCTTTTACTTCTTCGTCTGCCTGGTGCTCTGACTGGAACCTCCAGTGCAGATTGAGGACAGGTGGTGTGTGTGGACCCCTCGTCTTGTTGCCACCTCACGGGCCGAGCTCTGACTTCTGAGGAGGACGTCAGCTGTGGGTTTTCTTAGGTGAGGACGTGCCCTCTGTTGCTTTTGTCAAGGTTTGTTTTTTTCCTGGAAGGTGCTGGATTTTGTCCGATGATTTTTCTGTATCTGTTGAGACGACGCTGTGTTGCACTAGTTGGATTTCGGGTGTCACGTTCTTGCATCCCAGGGATAAATCCTGTTCGCTCGTGGTGCAGAATCTCTTTTATGCATCCTGGATTAGGCTTGCTGTTGTCGTGACGAGGATTTTTGCTTCTGTATTTACACTGGATAATGGTGTGTGGCTTTCCAGTGACGTCTTTGGTTCAGTGTCGGGGTGACGCTGGTCTCGGAGGGACATGGGAAGCGGTCTCTCCTCTTCTGTTTTGTGAAAGTTTGTGAAGAGTTGGAGGTAATTCTTCTTTAACCATTTGGTAGAATTCACCAGTGAACGCCTCTGGGCTTGGGCTGTTCTTTGTGGGAGGTTTTAAAATTGCTGAGTAATCGCTTTGCGTGTGTTCCCCGTCGCGTCAGCACTGGCGGCATGTCTCCCGGGAGCTGGTCTGCCCCACCAGGACACAGTCGTCTGTGGTTTCCCTCATCTTCCTGGTTTCTAGCGGGTGCCCCCTTTTATTCGCGGCTGCTGCGGCTGTGAAAGCATGAAAGACTCCCCAGGTGCAGGCAGGTGCTCCTTCGTCGTGGGGTGAGTGTGTGAGAATGTCCGGCCGCTAGACCGAAGGGTAGTCTGTTCAGAGGCAGCTGCGGGGAAGCCTCCTGTGTCCTCCAGGAGGACTCGCGTGCGCCCCCCGCCCCTCCCCTCTTGGTGGCGTCAGCAGCCACCTGCCATTTGCCGCTGGCGCCCTGGTGTTCGGCTGGCACCCTGGTGTTCGGCTGGCGCCCTGGCGTTCGGCTGGCACCCTGGTGTTCGGCTGGCACCCTGGCGTTCGGCTGGCGCCCTGGCGTTCGGCTGGTGCCCTGGTGGCCACTGCAGAGCGGTGCCTGTGGCTGCGGCCCACCCTTGTGCACAGCCTGGGGAGAGACCCCGCCTCACACGCTCCGCTGTAGTGTCTGTCGGGGCCGCTCAGCCTCTGAGAGCGGCGTTTCCTCCACCCACGGTCCTTCCACACGTGTCCAGGTGGGTTCGGAGCCGGAGTTCCCGGAACAAGGACTGGGGTCGAAGTTCACGTGCACGTGGATGTCGTGGCTGTGCCTGTCCCGTGTTCTCTGCAGGGTGCCCTGTCTGGCGTCTCAGGAAGGGCGTGTGGAGGGTGAAAGGAGGGTCCTGCCTTGCTAAATCAGCTTTTCTCTAAGACAGTAGGGATCAGGACTGAGCATCTTTCACAGGTGTGAAAAGGCTTTTGTATCTGATTCTGTCCTTTGCCCCCTTTCTGTTTGCTTGTGGCCTTCGGGTGCTTCCTGTGAGGTCAGGTCTGGATGGATGGTGCCTGCTTCGTGCCCAGGGGTTTCCAGCCTCCTGGGACTCCCCCGTCACTGGGCTCGCCTGGCCTGAGTGGAGCTGGGTGGTGCCAGCATGGGGGCTTGTGCCCCTCCTTCTCTCGCCAGCTTCCTGGAGAAGAGGGGACGGCTGCTGGAGAGACTGGAGGAGCAGCTCGGGAGACTGAGCACGCAGGCCACAGACAAAGAGGAGAGCAAGCAGGTGGCCCTGGGCACGTCCAAGCTCAACTACCTGGACCCCCGGATCAGTGTTGCCTGGTGCGTGGGCCCAGGCTGCCGTGCCCACTCATGGCCTCGAGGAGGGGACTGGACCCCTGAGTGGCCCCAGTTCAGTCCCCTGGGCCCTGTGGTCAGCACAGGTCCTTCCTGTGATGGGACCCGACTGGCTGGTGTGTTTAATGCTGAGTCCTGGGTCACTGGTCCTCTCTGCCCGAGAGCTCTGGGGCAGTGGAAGGCTGGGGTGGGACCCCAAGCTGCATACCAGCCACAGAGAGCCCAGCCTGCCCACTGGGGGTGGGGTGACTGGGTCGCCTGTGTGCCCTGTAAGCGTCCCCTGAGCACCCCGCTCAGAGGACAGCTGGGCTGCACTGGGGGACACGGCCTTCTCCCTGCTGCCCTGGGCTGGTGGCCGTGCTGTGGGTGCTGTGCCCAGGAGGAGCAGGTTGGGTAGCCTGGTGTCCTGACCTCTGTCCCGCTCCTCCCAAGAACCCCGGTCTCCTCTTGGCAGGTGTAAGAGGTTTGGGGTGCCCGTGGAGAAGATCTACAACAAGACACAGAGGGAGAAGTTCGCCTGGGCTCTCGACATGGCAGGCGAAGACTTTGAATTCTGAATGAACGTCTCTGTGCCTCGTCGGAACTTATTTTTTTTCACCATTAAAGCAGATTGGGGAATTTTGTACAAAGTAGTGTCTTTTGTGTCATCACACAGAAGGTGGCTGATGCCCGGCCAGGTGCTTTCAAGTGTCCCCTCCCCCATCAGGTGTCCCCTGGCCTGGCTGGGAGCTGGCGTGGCTGCGTGCCTGGTCCCAGGCCCTGACTTGGGGAGGGCCCGACTGTCCCGTGAGAGGCCTATGCCTCCCCACTCCCAAACTCTGCCCCAGCACCAGGCAGGGACCCCCTCAGAGACGCTGCACCTGTTACCTCAACAGATGGGACGGCGGGGCCCTGAGTGCCCATTGAGCCTGTCTCTCCCTGGTGGGCGGGCGGAGTCCACGTGTCCCCGAGAGAGCAGCTGGCAGCACGTGGGGCTGTCCTGAGTTCCAGGCCAGCAGGAGCTGTGGTGTCTGTGCCCTCAGGCCACCTGGTGCGGCGCACAGGCCCTCAGGCTGGTTTCGGAGTCACAGGGAAAGATCTCGGGTGGGTATGTGGCACCCAGTGGCCAGGGACATATGGGCGTGGCTGAGGATGGATGGGAGCGTCACTGATGTGGGGTGGGAGGGACATCCCTGCCGCAGCCAGGCCTGCGGTCTGCCTGCAGGCTCCTGGAGCTGGAGGTGGGCAGGGGCTGGGAGGTGTCTTTTTTCAAATTCTAGGTTGGGGGGGCAGATAATTTTTCTTTGTAATTTATAGGTCTCTGAATTTTTCTTTGTAGTTTATAGGTCTCTGGCTCAAGAGGCATCTCATCTACACCCAGACCAGGTGAAACTCACCAGAGAAGAGCCTTTGGATGGGACTTCCGGGTGCCTTAGGGGCGGGCATGTTTCGTGTGGAAGGAAAAGTAAGTAATTGTGGCTACAGCGTGGAGTGTAGAAAATTAAGTGGTCCCAAGTCTGCAGATCCTTGTCATTCCCTGGGGCTCTCTGGGCCCTCGCCACTGTCTGCAGTGGACTCCCTGTTTACTGGACCCCACCCACCCCTGTCTCCCAGCTCCTAGTGTGTTAGGGGATCTTCTTTTTGTGGCCTCCTGAAAAAAAAGTTTCATGAACAGCAGTGAAAAAATTTCAGTTTGCATGTCTGAAAATACTGTCATCCGACTGTCACACTGGACTCACGACTCCATACGTGTAAACTTACAGGTTGCAAATTATTTTCAGTTGTAACTTTCAAAGCATTGTTCCGTTGTCTTCCGACTTGGGATGTGCTGTTGGGAAGTTCCCCGGGATCTGATTCCCAGTGCTCCGTGGGATCTGCTGTCTGGCCTGCCGCCTCTGAGGTCTGCGTCACTGATACTCGTGTGTTCTCCACGTCGAGACTCGGCATCATTTTCCTTTGTTGTTTGTGGAGGGTACTGGGAGGGGCTTTCGCTCTGGTGATTCATGTCTCTTAGTTCTGGGAGAAAGTTAAGATTATTTCTCTGATAATTTCATTCTCACCATTTTGTTTCCTTTTCTTCCCCCTAGAACGCCTGTTAGTCTTAATCTTTCTGTCTTATCATCCACCTCGTCTTTTTATTCTTTTAAAAAGACTTTCTCAACTTTATCTCTCAACCGTCTAATTTTTTTTTTTTTTTTTTTTTTGCGGTATGCGGGCCTCTCACTGTTGTGGCCTCTCCCCGTTGCGGAGCACAGGCTCCGGATGCGCAGGCTCAGTGGCCATGACTCATGGGCCCAGCCGCTCCGCGGCATGTGGGATCTTCCTGGACCGGGGCACGAACCCGTGTCCCCTGCATCGGCAGGCGGACTGTCAACCACTGCGCCACCAGGGAAGCCCCAACCGTCTAATTTTTTTAAAAAAATATTTATTTTTATTTGGTTGCATCCGATCTTAGTTGCAGCTCGAGGGCTCCTTAGTTGCAGCATGCATGTGGGATCTAGTTCCCTGACCAGGGACCGAACCCGGGCCCCCTGCATTGGGAGCACAGAGACTTAACCACTGCGCCACTAGGGAAGTCCCCTAATTTGTGTGTGTGTGTGTGTGTGTGTGTGTTTTAGATTTATTTATTTATTTATTTATTTAAGTTGTATTTTTGGCTGCGTCGGGTCTTGGTTGTGGCATGCGGGATCTTTCATTGTGGTGTGCGGGCTCTTCATTGTGGCGCATGGGTTTCTCTCTAGTTGTGGCGTGTGGGTTTTTTCTTCTCTGGTTGTGGTGCACAGGCTGCAGGGTGTGTGGGCTCTGTAGCTTGCGGCACATGGGCTCTAGTTGAGGCGCATGAGCTCAGTAGTTGTGGCGTGTAGGCTTAGTTGCCTCGCAGCATGTGGGATCTTAGTTCCCCGACCAGGGATCGAACCCACGTCCCCTGCATTAGAAGGCAGATTCTTTACCACTGGACCACCGGGGAAGTCCCCCCTAATATGTTTTTAATTTTGCTTATCACATGTTTTTAAGATTTGTTTCCTTATTTTGAATTGTTCCTTTTAAAATACTATTCTGGTCTCTCTCTTTTTTTTTCTGCAGTGCACAGCATGCGGAATCTTAGTTCCTCGACCAGGAATTGAACCTGTACCACCTGCAGTGGTACAGTGGAAGCGTGGAGTCCTAACCACTGGACCACCAAGTAAGTCCCCTATCCTGTTCTCTTTTAGTGGACACAGTTCCTTCTTGATCTCGTTGAAGTTACTACCTACCATCTCGCTCACCTTTTCTACGTTTCTTGCACTATCTCTGTTTCCTCTGAGTTTGTAAAAAGCTCCTTTTCTGGTTTGACCTCGCATGCGCATCGAGAACCTCCTCAGCTGCCTGGTGCTGGCCTTCCATCCATGGGGACGGGGTGGGGGCGTTCTGAACCCAGGGGAGCCTTGCTGCCTCTGGAGCAGCTGAATGCGGTTGCCACTGAGGTTGGTCTTTATGGCAGGACTTTGGTGTTTCTCCAAGATGGTTCCTGTTCTCTGGTGAGGACCCTGCAGACCCGCCGTCTCCAGTCATGGAGCCTTCCCAGAACTTCGCACAGCAAATTGGCGGGCGTCTCACCTCCGGAGGCCCCTTGGCCCCTTGGTGGACTCCTGCCTCTGCCTACTTTGTCTTCACAGGTACTGTGGTTCTTAGTTACAGGCTCCTCCTGCCGACCTCACCGTTTTAACTGGACATTTTGCATCTAGTTCGGGTTACCGTGATTAGGAACCTATTCGGGTGATTTCTACTGTCTTACTCTGATTAGTTTTCAGATTTTTCTTTTCCTATTTATTTTTTAGTTGATATAGTAAGTTTTTGTTCATTTTAAATTATTGCATTTTTTTCTATTGGACTGGAAACATATACACCGTTTATATTTAGTAATTAAGCTTAAAGTATGCTATGCATATTTAAAGTCTAAAATTAAAGTGTGTTACAGCCCTTCCCAACAAAGGAGGATCTTAGAAAGTCCCTTGTGCACCCGTGCAGGGCCCAGTGGACGTCCTCACACACAGTGTGGGTTTACACTCACATCGATCTTCTTCTTTGCTCCAATTCCATCTTGTATCGAAGGCTGTCATTCTGAAATCATTTTTTCTTTTTTTTTTTTTTTTGCGGTACGCGGGTCTCTCACTGTTGTGGCCTCTCCCGTTGCGGAACACAGGCTCCGGACACACAGGCTCAGTGGCCATGGCTCGTGGGCCCAGCCGCTCCGCGGCATGTGGGATCTTCCCGGACTGGGGCACGAACCCGTGTCCCCTGCATCGGCAGGCGGACTCTCAACCACTGTGCCACCAGGGAAGCCCTGAAATAATTTTCTTTTTGTAGTACAAATTTTAGAAGTCCTTTCAGTGAAAATTGCTTAATGAAGAACTGCCTCAGATTTTACTTATTTATATTTTACTTTACTTTTATATATTACTATAACTTTTATATTATTTTATATATTATATTATATATATATTATATATAATATATATAATTATATATTATATATATTATATAATTATATATTATATATATTATATATATAATATATATTTTTATTTGTGCTGTTTCATATCATTATACTTCCTGCATCTGTGAATTTATGTTTTTCAGCAAATACAGAGAAGCCTTGCTGGAACACTGTGAGTGGGGTGTAAATTGCAGTCACAGTACTGTGATTGTGGCACAGGGGCCACCAGAAGTTGCGGAAGTCCATCCAAGCAGTCAGGCCCTCCATTCTCAGCTGTAGGTTGGCACGACTTGTTGGCAGTTGTCCACTCTGGCTTAAACATTGAAGATATTGATTCTGGGTCTTGAGAATGGCTGGAACTTCCAGGACATAGATAACAATTTCAACAATCTCTCCTTTAATTGTTTCATTGGCCTGATTACGGGGAGACTGGTTGAGGTTAAAACTGGGGATGCAGACACTCATCTTCACCAGATGGGGTTGGCTGTTGTTTCTCTGCCTGGATGGCCTGTGGGAGAGGATCTGCATACTCACGGGGGTCAGTGTAGGCTTTTGCTGTATCTCCTCTCCTTCACTCTCTCCTCCTGGGATTCTTGTCACATCTACGTCAGACCTTATTATCTTCTACAGATCTTTGAACATTTCCTTCATGTTTCCCATCTCCTTGTCCCTGTGGTATTCTGGGCCTCCTTGCATGTTTCTTCCACTACACTAATGCTTTCTTCAGCTGTGTCTAATCTGCTACTTAACCTACCCATTGAATTCTATTTCAGTGATTATAATTTTCATTTCTAAAAGTTCTACTTTAAAAGCCTGCCTTTTCATGAGTGGTAGTCTCTTACTGCTTTCTTGTCACTGTGTCTGTCTTCTTTTTTATTCTGTTTTTAAAATTGAAGTATTGTTGATTTACAATGCTGTGTTTATTTCTGGTGTATAGCAAAGTGATTTACATTATATATATATATATACACACACACACACGTATATTTTTTCATATTATCTTTCATTAGAGTTTGTTACAAGATATTGAATACAGTTCCCTCTGCTATACAGTAGGACCTTGTTGTTTATCTTATATATAGTGGTGTGTATGTTAATCCCAAACTCCTAATTTATCTCCCCAACTTCGGTAACCATAAGTTTGTTTTCTATGTCTGTGAGTCTATTTCTGTTTTGTAAATAAGTTCATTTGTATATATATATATTTTAGATTCCACATGTAAGTGATATCATATGGTATTTGGCTTTCTCTTCCTGACTTACTTCACTTAGTATGATAATCTCTGGGTTCACCCATGTTGCTGCAAATGACATTATCTCGTTCTCTTTTATGGCTGAGTAATATTCCATTGTGTATGTGTGCATATATACACATAGATATATATATTCGTTTGGCCAAAAAGTTTATTCGGATGTATGGAAGAACCTGAATGAACTTTTTGGCCAACCTAATACCACATCTTCTTTATGCATTCACCTGCTGATGGACATTTAGGCTGCTTCGATGTCTTAGCTATTGTAAATAGTGCTGTTATGAACATTGGGATGCATGTATCCTTTGGAATTAGTTTTCTCCAGATATATGCCCAGGAGTGGGATTTCTGGATCATATGGTAACTCTATGTTTAGTTTTTAAAGGAACTTCCATACTGTTTTCCGTAGTATGGAAGCCAATTTATAGGCCCACCAACAGTGTAGGAGGGTTCCCTTTTCTCCACACCCTCTTCAGTATTTATTATTTGTAGACTTTTTGATGATGGTCATTTTGACCAGTGTGAGGTATTACCTCATTGTAGTTTTGATTTGCATTTCTCTAATATAATTAGCGACGTTGAGCATCTTTTCATGTGCCTGTTGGCCATTTGTGTGTCTTCTTTGGAGAAATGTCTGTTGAGGTCTTCTGCCCATTTTTTGATTGTTTATTTTTTCTGTTAATTGAGTTGGATGAGCTGTTTGTATATTTTGGAAATTAAGCCCTTGTCAGTCACAACATTTGCAAATATTTTCTCCCATTCCATAGGTTGTCTTTTTGTTTTGTTTATGGTTTCCTTTGCTGTGCTTTCAAGCTTTTACGTTTGATTAGGTCCCATTTGTTTATTTTTGCTTTTATTTCTTTTGCTTTGGGAGACCTAAGAAAACGTTGCTATGATTTATGTCAGAATGTTTTGCCTGTGTTTTCTTCTAGGAGTTTTATGTTGTCATGTCTTATATGTCTTTAAGCCATTTTGAGTTTATTTTTGTGTATAGTGTGAGGGAGTGTTCTAACTTCATTGATTTACATGCAGCCATCCAACTTTCCCAACACCACTTGCTGAAGAGACTGTCTTTTCTACATTGCATATTTCTGCCTCCCTTGTCGAAGATTAACTGATGGTAGGTGTGTGGGTTTATTCCTGGACTCTCTATTCTGGTGATCCGTATGTCTGTTTTTGTGCCAATACCACGTTGTTTGATTACTGTAGCTTTGTAGTATTGTCTGAAGTCTGGGAGGGTTATGCCTCCTGTTTTGTTCTTTTTCCTCAGGACTGCTTTGGCAATTCTGGTCGTTCATGGTTCCGTATAAATTTTAGGATTATTTATTCTAGTTCTGTGAAAAAACGTCATGGGTAATTTGATAGGGATCACATTAAATCTGTAGATTGCTTTGGGTAGTATGGCCATTTTAATAACATTAATTTTTCCAATCCAAAAGCATGTCTTTCCATTTTAAATCATTTTCAGTTTCCTTTATCAATGTTTCATAGTTCTCAGCATATGAGTCTTTCACCTCCTTGGTCAGGTTTGTTCCTAAGTATTTTTATTTTTTTGATGCGATCTTAAAAGGGTTTTTTTTTTTTACTTTCCCTTTCCAATATGTCATTGTTAGTGTAAAGCAACAGGTTCCTGTATGTTAATATTGTATTCTGCTACCCTGCTGAATTTATGAGTTCTAGTAGTTTTTGTGTGGAGCCTTTAGGGCTTTCTATATACAGTATCATGTCATCTGCATATAATGACAATTTATCTCTTCCCTTGTAATCTGGATCTTTTATTTCTTTTTCTTGTCTGACTGCTGTGGCGAGGACTTCCAGTACTGTCTATGTTGAACAGAAATGGTGACAGCGGGCATCCTTGTCTTGTCCCGATTTTAGCGGGAAGGTGTCTGGTTTTTCTAACACTTCACGTGTAACTACTCTCTTGCCTGCATTATCTGTATCTGCAGTTGCTGTGGTTTTATATCTGTTCTTTGTTGACTTTGTAGACCCCCCCCCCCCCCCCCCGGTAAATGAGACTCACCTTCCTGTGTACTTGGTGATTTCTGTAAGCTCATTGCTTTGATCTCATGATCAGGGACACTACAGGGTCTAAGTAGGAAAAATTTTCCTCCAAAGAGCTACCTGGGAGGCACAAACCTGGGCCTTGGCTTAGCATGGGAGCTCCAGGCTTAGCTTTCCATGTTACCTGGGCTCAAGTCAGCAGCCCAATAGCTGTGGTGCCTGAATGCACTCTATGGGCAACTCTGCCCCTACAGGCTGCGCAACCCTGTAGCCTAAGCTCACACCATAAAAGAAACAAGGTGCCAACAAGAGCCCTAGAACTGAGCTACTATTTTGGAAGTCCCAGCCAGCTACAGGACCCAAATAATTCAGTCAGTAGTTAAACTAGAGCAGACAGTTCCCACAAAGTGGCACCAAACCACAGCTTGACTAGGATGGATTTGGGTCCTGCAGCTGGACCCCCAGGACTTGTGGCCAGGTGACTGCTCAGATTTGTCTTAGTCATTACAGTAAACTTTCAATAACATGACCTCACTCAATTTGTTACAGCAGTTTTATGATATGTACAGAGTATCATCCCCAACAAAGACACCTGTCGCTTTCTATCTGGCAAATAGCATTTGTAGGTATCTATAACACTCCCGTACTGTGATATGAAATATCAGATCATGAGCAGTGAGCTCACCTAGACTACTGTTTTACATACACTTTTTGTCTGATCTCCCAGCTACGAACTGGAAGGTCCTATGGGTGAGCACACTTCTCATGCTCTTCACAGTCCACTAGCATGCCCTGACCTTTGCTTTGTACACATTTAATCCATCTGCTCAGGAATCCCCTCCCCTGGGTGTTCACCCCCGTTTTTCCCTTGCCCCAGTCTTGTTTACTGCCCTCCTGTGTCACTAGTTCCCTCTACATACTTCTGTTATTGGACTTTTACCTACAGTCCTTGAACGCAGCCATCACAGTGGCTTTGTGTTTCCTACAACAGTGGCGTAGAGCCTGGACAGCTAAGTGCTTAGGAAATGTCTGTTGGAAGTACAAACATCTTAAACTTGTTTTATCTTATACTACCTTCCTGAGCCTGAGAAGAGTTCTGTATACTCCGAAATGGCATGAAAACAAGTGAATCAGTACCTCCTCCTTCCGGCCAAGCCTATGGTCTCTCCTCTATGCCTATCTTTCATAAACTCCCCTGCATATTTCATGTACTTATTTTTTTGTGGAGTGCACATCCTGTATCCGGGGCTGTGCTAAAATAATTTTAGCTACAGGGGCTCATACTTTGATAAAAGACACAGACATAAGCATATAGCTTTGATACAGGGTAGAGAGTGATTCTTGACTTTTCTAAAGAGCTATGAAACTGAAAAAAAACACGAAAGAACCCCCAAAACCTACTGATACATGGGTAAACCTCAAAAAACATTAAGCAAAGGGAAAAAGACATAAAAGAGTATAAATTATATCACTATTTATATAACGTTCTAGAACAAGCAAAACTATAGTGACAGAAACGAGATCACTGGTTGCCTCTCAGGATGAGGGGCTGACTTGAAGGGGCATAAGGAGACTTTCTGGGGTGATGGAAATAGTCTACATCTTCAGAGTGTGGTGGTTGTAAAGGTCAAAGCACATTGTACTGTTGAAACTCATAAAACCAAACACTTAAGATTTATGTGTTCCACTGTATGTAAATTATACTTCAGGAAAAAAACCCAGTGCTGTGAAAATGAAATAAATTAACTTCCGAGGCACACGTTGCCATCACGTCTCCTTCCCCAAGGCTCCTCTTTCCTTTCTGGTGCTCCTGGCAAGGCGGCGGCAGACAAACTGCAGGCCTCCACGGGCAGGCTTGGAGACCAGCAAGACAGTTTTATCCTCTTCCTGTGGGGCGAAGTACACAAAGCTGGGGGAGTGGGCAAAAAGTGAAGGGTGTTGTACCCACACTCCAATCTTATTTACTCAATTTTTCCACTCCATGTTCACCCCCCAACAGGCTCACTCCGTGCTGTGAACTCGCTGGTGCTGGATAAGATGAAAGCTCAGGCGGAAGGCCCTGCCACACCTGGCACAGTGGAAAGGCTTCTCCCCAGTGTGGATCCTCTGGTGCCGGAAGAAGCCCGACAGGGCCCTGAAGGCGCGGCCGCACTCGCTGCACTCGTAGGGCTTCTCCCCGGTGTGGATGCGCCGGTGCTCACTGAGGAAGGAGCTGCGGCTGAAGGCGCGCCCACACTCCTGGCAGGCGTAGGGCTTCTCCCCAGTGTGGACCCGCTGGTGCTGAATGAGGTTGGAGCTCTGGCTGAAGGCTTTCCCACACTCTTTGCATTCGTAAGGATTCTCTCCGTGGTGAATTCTCTGGTGCCGGACGACGTTTGAGCTATGGATGAAGGTTTTCCCGCACTCGCTGCACTCATACAGCCGCTCGCCAGTGTGAATTCTCTGGTGCTTAATGGCATCTGACCTCTGACTGAAGGACCTGCCACACTCAGCACATTCGTAGGGCTTCTCTCCCGTGTGGATTCTCTGGTGTCTAATGAGGTTGAAGCTCTGGCTGAAGGCTTTCCCACACTCCTTACAAACGTAAGGCCTCTCCCCGTTGTGAATGCGCTGGTGCCTGACGACGTGGGAGCTGTGGATGAAGGCCTTCCCACAGTCGCTGCACTCGTAGGGTTTCTCCCCAGAGTGAATGCTCTGGTGTTTCACCACATCTGAATAGCATTTGAAGCTCCTGTCGCAGGTGCTGCATCGGTAAGGCCGTCCTTTCCAGTGGCCTCTCCTATCGGCTGTGGAGGCTGCATTCAGGGTGACCTCTGACCTGGACACACTGTCCTCATGGCCATTCTGCCCTCCAGTTTCCTCATAAACAACTGGTCCCCGAGGGGAACCTCTGGGCCTCTCTCCAGCTTCCTCATTCCCACAAGGGTCTGGAAACCGCAGTGTCCGGGGAGGCCCCCGTAACAGTCCTGGCACAGCTTGTCCACGGCGCCCCCCTTCTTCTAAGGTTGCCTGTCGTAGCATCAGCCCTGGGCTCTGAGCCCCTTGCTCAGCCACCAAAGCAGCGTAGCAGGAAGCTGGGCCGCCACTCGGTGCCTGTGCTAGGAAAGCTGGAAAAGGGGGAGAGATGCACAACTTAGAACTCTGCTGATGACACACAGATGGCACAGGAGAGCCACGTGATGATAGGGAACAGTAAGACGCCAGTGGGCAGCAGAAACCCATTATCCCGCCTGTCCTCCTCCTGCCCAGCTCTCCTCCCCGACTTCTAACACCTGTGGTCGCAGGAATGGACAAGGGACTGGGGGAGAGCTAATCAGCAGGCTTCCCTGTGACTCCAGAAAAGGCCCAAGCCTCTAACCTCAGTCTGCCTGGTCTCACGAGTCGGGGGAGACAGACCCCCAGGCTCTGGTGACACCCTGGTACAGCCTCATGGCCTGGAATGCAGAGAGAAGTGGTTGGCAGCAGAGCAGGCACGTGTGGCCATGTTTGAAAACACTTCCGGTGTCACAGTGGGCAAGGGGCACTCCTGGCACCTAGTGGGGAAAAGCCAGGGAGGCTGCTCAGCATCCTGGAATGCACAGGCCGCCCCCAACAGAGGCACCTCCAGCCCAAGTGCCCAGAAGTCTTCCCAGAAGGCAGAACCTGGGCTGCCAGACGTCCTAACCAAGAAGCTCAGTCCCCTGGCACAGATGCTGGTCACCACTCTGACACTGGGGCCCAGCCCTCAGCCTCACCTCCCTTCAGGCCGTACAGCTCATAGTATATGCTCAGGCCAGCAACCCAGACAGGGTGCTCTCTCTTTATTCCTTTTCTGAATGGGACGTTTTTAATAACCTGTTTTTTCCTCCACACACTGTGTATGGCGGCATTTGCTAAAATCTAGCCCCAAATTGTGAGACTGAAGAGTGCTGTCTGGGCCAGATCTGGTCAGGAGTAGGGTCAGACAAGGGAGGGAGACAGTGGCCTGGAAGTACTGGGCCTGAAGGGTGGCTCCATGGCTGCACCTCTGGGTCATCCCCGACTCACACCCTGAGGGATGAGGTGCAGGGACACAGGGTGGCGGAACCACCCGACACGGGGGTTCTGTGACTTCCTGGGAGAGCAGTTCCAGGTGTGTTTGGGGGAGCCACGGTCATGTTCTCCCCAAGCTCCCACTGCTGAACCAGAACGTTAGGGTAGAGTATGATGGGGAAAAGCTTGAAATGGCGTGTGTCTTTGCCAAGGGAAGATGGCCTGGTTGTTAGCACAGGTCATGTGACAATTCAACAACATCAACAACAGGCAACTGAATATGAGCCCTCCCCCAAATGTGGCCTGAAATCTTCAGAACAGAGGGGCCTGGAGCCCGAGAGGGAGGTGGCCAGTGGGCGGGAGGCCAGCCAGATTGTCATCCACCACACACTTCCTGGTCACCAACCCTGAGCCTAGGCCAGTTGACACTGCTGGGCCCTGGTGAGACAAAGCCAAGAATTAATACTCTTGTTCCTCACAGCTGGAGGCATAACCCTCCCAGACTTCAGACAATACTACAAAGCTACAGTAATCAGAACAGCATGGTACCTACCTAGGGAGACAAAAGACCTGTATGCAGAAAACTATAAGACACTGATGAAAGAAATTAAAGATGATCCGAACAGATGGAGAGATATACCATGTTCTTGAATTGGAAGAATCGATACTGTGAAAATGACTATACTACCCAAAGCAATCTACAGATTGAATGCAATCCCTATCAAATCACCAATGGCATTTTTTTACAGAACCAGAACAAAAAATCCTAAAATTTGTATGGAGACACAAAAGACCCCGAATAGCCAAAGCAGTCTTGAGGGAAAAAATCGGAGCTGGAGGAATCAGACTCTACTACAAATCTACAATAATCAAGAGACAATATGGTACTGGCACAGAAACAGAAATATAGATCAATGGAACAGGATAGAAAGCCCAGAGATAAACCCACGCACCTATGGTCAACTAATCTATGACAAAGGAGGCAAGGATATACAATGGAGAAAAAGTCTCTTCAATAAGTGGTGCTGGGAAAACTGGACAGCTACATGTAAAATAATGAAATTAGAACACTCCCTAACACCATACACGGAAATAAACTAAAAATGGATTAGAGACCTAAATGTAAGACCAGACACTATAAAACTCTTAGAGGAAGACATAGGAAGAACACTCTTTGACATAAATCACAGCAAGATCTTTTTTGATCCACCTCCTAGAGTAATGGAAATAAAAACAAAGATAAACAGATGGGACCTAATGAAACTTAAAAGATTTTGCAAAGCAAAGGAAACTACAAACAAGACGAAAAGACAACTCTTAAAATATTTGCAAATGAATCAACGGACAAAGGATTAATCTCCAAAATACATAAACAGCTCATGCAGCTCAATATTAAAAAAACAACCCAATCCAAAAATGGGCAGAAGACCTAAATAGACATTTCTCCAAAGAAGACATACAGATGGCCAAGAGGCACATGAAAAGCTGCTCAACATCACTAATTATTAGAGAAATGCAAATCAAAACTACAATGAGGTATCCCCTCACACCAGTCAGAATGGCCATCATCAAAAAATCTAGAAACAATAAATGCTGGAGAGGGTGTGGAGAAAAGGGAACCCTCTTGCACTGTTGGTGGGAATATAAATTGATACAGCCACTATGGAGAACAGTATGGAGGTTCCTTAAAAACTAAAAATAGAACTACCATATGACCCAGCAGTCCCACTACTGGGCACATACCCAGAGAAAACCATAATTCAAAAAGACACATGCACCCCAATGTTCACTGCAGCACTATTTACAATAGCCAGGTCATGGAAGCAACCTAAGTGCCCATCGACAGACAAATGGATAAAGAAGATGCGGCACATATATACAATGGAATATTACTCAGCCATAAAAAGGAGCGAAACTGGGTCATTTGTAGAGATGTGGATGGATCTAGAGACTGTCATACAGAGTGAAGTAAGTCAGAAAGAGAAAAACAAATATCGTATATTAACGCATGTATGTGGAACCTAGAAAAATGGTACAGATGAACCGGTTTGCAGGGCAGAAATAGAGACACAGATGTAGAGAACAAACGTATGGACCCAAGGGGGGAAAGCGGTGGTGGGGGTGCGTGGAGGGTTGTGGGATGAATTGGGAGATTGGAATTGACATGTATACACTGATGTGTATAAAATGGATAACTAATAAGAACCTGCTGTATCAAAAAATACATAAAATTCAAAAAAGCCCCACAAAAACCCAGCATGGTATTTGCACAAAAACAGACATATGGATCAATGGAACAGAACAGAGAGCCCAGAAATAAACACACACACCTATGGTCAATTAATCTTAGACAAAGGAGGCAAGAATACAATGGTGAAAAGACAGTCCCTTCAGCAAGTGGTGCTGAGAAAGCTGGAGAGCCACATGGAAGTCAATGAAGTTAGAACGCTCCCTCACACTACACACAAAAATAAACTCAAAATGGCTTAAAGACTTAAACATAAGACAGGACACCATAAAACTCCTAGAAGAGAACAGAGGCAAAACCTCTGACATAAATTGTAGCAATGTTTTCTTAGGTCAGTCTCCCAAAGCAAAAGAAATAAAAGCAAAAATAAACAAATGGGACCTAATCAAACTTAAAAGCTTTTGCACAGCAAAGGAAACCATAAACAAAACAAAAAGACAACCTATGGAATGGGAGAAAATATTCGCAAACATTGCGACTGACAAGGGCTTAATTTTCAAAATATACAAACAGCTTATCCAACTCAATAACAAAAAAACAACTCAATCAAAAAAATGGGCAGAAGACCTAAACAGACATTTTTCCAAAGACATACAGATGGCCAACAGGCACATGAAAAGATGCTCAACATTGCTAATTATTAGAGAAATGCAAATCAAAACTACAATGAGGTACCACCTCACACTGGTCAAAATGACCATCACCAAAAAGTCTGCAAATAATAAATGCTGGAGAGGGTGTGGAGAAAAGGGAACCCTCTTACACTGTTTGTGGGGATGTAAATTGGTGCGGCCACTATGGAGAACAGTATGGAGGTTCCTTAAAAAACTAAAAATAGAACTACCATATGACCCAGCAATCCCACTCCTGGGCATATATCCAGAAAAAACTCTAATTCGAAAGGATCCATGCACCCCAGTGTTCACAGTAGCACTATTCACAATAGCCAAGACATGGAGGCGACCTGAGTGTCCATCAATAGGTGAATAGATATGGTACAGATATATATAATGGGATACTACTCAGCCATAAAAAGAATGAAATAATGCCATTTGCAGCAACATGCAGCAACAGATTATCATATTAAGTGAAGTCAGTCAGACAAAGACAAATATCATATAATATCACTTATATGTGGAATCTAAAAAAATGATACAGGGGCTTCCCTGCTGGCACAGTGGTTAAGAATCCGCCTGCCAACGCAGGGGACACGGGTTCAAGCCCCTGGTCTGGGAAGATCACACATGCCGTGGAGCAGCTAAGCCCGTGCACCACAACTACTGAGCCTGCACTCTAGAGCCCACGAGCCACAACTACTGAGCCCAAGTGCCACAACTATTGAAGCCTGTGTGCCTGGAGCCCGTGCTCCAAAACAAAGAGAAGCCACTGCAATGAGAAGCCCGCGCGCTGCAAGGAAGAGTAACCCCTCTTCCCTGGTGATGCAGTGGTTGAGAGTCCGCCTGCCGATGCAGGGGACACGGGTTCGTGCCCCGGTCTGGGAAGATCCCACATGCCGTGGAGCGGCTGGGCCCGTGAGCCATGGCCACTGAGCCTGCGCGTCTGGAGCAAGAGAAAAAAAAAAAAAAAGCCCCCAAACACAAAAAAAAAAAAAAAAAAAAAAAAAAAAAAAAAGAGTAGCCCCTGCTTGCCGCAACCAGAGCAAAGCCTGCGCGCAGCAGCGAAGACCCAATGCAGCCAAAATCATTTTTAAAATAAAATAAATAAAAATATGGGGCTTTCCTGGTGGCGCAGTGGTCGAGAGTCCGCCTGCCGATGCAGGGGACATGGGTTCGTACCCCAGTCTGGGAAGATCCCACATGCCGCGGAGCGGCTGGGCCCGTGAGCCATGGCCGCTGAGCCTGCGCGTCCGGAGCCTGTGCTCCGCAACGGGAGAAGCCACAACAGTGAGAGGTCCGCGTACCGCAAAAATAAATAAATAAAATTAAATTTAAAAAAAATGATACAAATGAACTTATTTACAAAACAGAAACAGACACACAGAAAACAAACTTATGTTTACCAAAGGGGAAAGGGAGCAGAGGGAGGCATAAATCAGGAGTTTGGGATCAGCAGCTACACACTGCTATATATAAAATAGGTAAACAACAAGATCCTACTGTATAGCACATGGAACTATATTCATTATCTTGTAATAACCTATAATGGAAAAGAACACGAAAAAGAACATGTACATATAACTGAATCACTTTGCTGTACACTTGAAAGTAACACAACATGGTAACTCAACTATAATTTAAAAAATAAAATTCTTGTTCTCAGAGGTCTCCAGGTGGGGGGACCAGAGAAAGAGAGCAGGGTATATAGAGTGTGTCCAGGAGAACAAAGGAGGGAGGGGCTGAGGGAGCACAGCAGGCATGGAGGTGGGGAGCTGTGATGGTTAGAAGCTGCCCAAGCCTAGTAACACCTCCAGAGTAGCAGCCAGGCAGATGGACTTGGGAGCCCCGATTCCTAAGCTGTCCCCACGTCCCTGACCCCAGGATGGCCCTCTGGGCCTGCCTGCCTCCCTCACCCGTGCACGTGTCCATCAGGGTAGCCCTCTCTGTGGCGTTCTGTGGACTCAGGCTGGGACTTTGCTTGCTGCTTCCTGCAGAAACACCAGTAGTAGGACACCTGCCTCGGAGAAAGAGAAAGAAAGGGGAGAAAATGACAGGGAGGGTGGGGGTGAAGTCAGAGTACCTTCAGAGAAGGGAGGGTCAGAGCCTGCCCAGAGGGCCCTGAAGGAGCCACCTCACTATAAATCAAGGTCTGAATAAGCAAACATCCCAGAAACTAGTGTTTCACGGGACACCCTCTGGGAACTGTCTAGGCCATGCTGGCTCCCCCACCCCTGCGCCCCAGCAGATTACGAGCAGAGACAGATGTGGCAGCACCTGTTACCTGCCCACTGTGGTCTCAGCTCCACCAGGAACCAACGAGCACCTTTAGTCAGTCCTCGGATGTGTGAAAAAATTTCTATGCATTTATATTTTTTCTTGATAATGACAAAAGATCTGAATATAAATATATGAAACCAAAAAAGTAACGATCTGAATGGTGCAATTTTGGATTGAGGAATGCTTTTGCTAACCTTTACCAAAGGTAAAGTGTGACAGATTTAACTACACAAGGATATTTACTGTCAAAAAGAAAAAAAAAAAGGGAGGGATATTTGCAACACAAAGAAAAAAAAAAGGGAGGGATATTTGCAACACAAAGATTCATATCCTCAATATCTAAAAACCCACTATATATACATGAAAAAGCACGAAAAAACTAGTTAAAGTTATGGACAGGTAACCAGCAGAAGAAAATAAACAAGTAGCTGGGACCTCCCTGGTGGTCCAGTGGTTAAGAAACCGCCTTCCAGTGCAGGGGACACGGGTTCCATCCCTGATCGGGGAGCTAAGATCCCACATGCCACGGAGCAGCTAAGCCCGAGCGCCACAAGTACGGAGCCATGCACTCCGGAGCCCACGCGCCCGCAATTAGAAAAGCCCAGGTGCCACAACGAGGGAACCGCGTGCCTCAGCGGAAGTTCCCCCAAGCCACAACTGAGACCCGACGCAGCCTAAAATAAGTAAATATTAAAAAAACCAATAAGGCTTAAAAACAGTGGCACCTTATGAGCATACAATTAGGGGAAACAGGCACCTTCATACACCGCTGGAAGAAGAAAAAGTGCACTGGACGGCGGGTAATTCGATGATTTACAAAGGCTTTAAAATTAAACTGTGATTTCACTTCAGGGAACTGTCTGAGGCTGCCCCGGGGCCTTCACACTGGTCGTCACAATGGGCGGGGAAGGCTGTCCCCGGGGCCGTCACACGGCGGGAGTAGGGCCGCCCCTCGCTTCCGCTCTCCTCCCGGATGTGAGCCCTTTCGCAGGGAGAGCCCAGGACAGATAAGGGCCCCGTGCCCCGTAGGAACGGCCCGTCCTTGCGCCCATATTTCTGCTTCCCTCGCGGGCGCGGCCCACCATCTACCAACCCCTGCCCAAGCCCCGGTCCGCCACCACTTACCCGGAGCCCCCGCCGCCCGCCGGAAGCGCCGCCTCCCTCTCCCGGGCGGCTCGGGCACTTCCGGTGACGTTCTAGGGCGCCGGAGGACCCGCACTCAGTTGCCCTGGAGGCCGCGGGGTGGGGGGTGGGTGGGCCTGCCTTCGCGAGTTATGCGCGGATTTCCTAGCTTCGCGTGCAAGACCCTCGGTTGCTGTCCGGCCACCTTCACACCGACTGCTCCCGCCCCTGCAGGGCTTCACTCCCCGCACCTCTGGGACGCCTCCCGGATCCCCGCCCCGGGCCGCGTGGCCTCCACCAGGTCCAGGCCTGAGGTCCGGGGAGTAAGCCGGGTTAAGTGACCTTGCTGACTGCGGAATGAGCGAATGCACGGACGCATGAAGTCAGCGCTCGTGGAGAAAGGGGGGAGGGGAGGGCGCCCCGAGCCTGCCCGGCCTGGGCGCCAGAGCCTCACAGCGGCTGGTCCTCCGCAGGTGGATCCCCCTCCTAAGCCAGGGGCAGCGCAGAAATCCCCTTCCTCCCGCGCGTCGGGCCGCCGCGCCACATTCTCCGGGTTTCCCTCACCGCTGGTTTTCAGTGACCACACACTTAAGGGCTTGAAGCATCATGCGTTTATGATCTCACGGCTTCCTTGTGTTGCACGAGTCCGGGCACAGCCTGGCCAGTCCTGGGCTGGGGTCTCTCCTAGGCTGCAGGCAAGGTGTTGGCCACGACTAGGGTCTCCCCTGGGGTCTCACGTGGCTGTGGGCAGGATTCAGTTCCCAAGGTCGGGAGTTCTCTGGGCTCCACACGTGACGTGGGGCTGCAGGCTTCCCACAGGAACGGTGGCCTTGGGGTCCTCTGCAGAGTGGGTACTCTTGCGTTTAATCCCGGCTGAGAAACCTTCACAGCGTCTGCCTTAAACACGTGTCGTGGGGCTTAGGCGACGAATGTCCTGTCCCCAGCCCATCACTGAGTTGTCTCTCCGTGCTCTGGGCACTTTCCTGTAGATGACTCCTGTGGTCTCTCCTCAGCCACCTCATTCTAACCTGCTTCCAGAAACCCCACAGCCCAGAGAGCCCTTGAAATGACTCCCTGCTCCCTGACAATGTCCCTTCGCAAGATTCTCCTTCTACGGAAGTCTGCTGCTCTGGCACCCACCCCGGGTTCTTAGCCCAGACAGAAGCACGGGTGGAGACTGGCACCCTCACAGCTGGGCTGGGCCTTTGATGGTGGCCCAGTGCCCGGATGGCAGCAGGCCTTACCTCCATCAGCTTCCACCCACCTGTCCAGTGTCACCTCTTCCTCCAGCTCCCCCCAACTGTGAAACCATTCACCGCTCCCTGAACAGGCCAGGCTCGTTCTCGCCTCCCTCTGAGCTTTGCCCATTCCCTTCCCTTTCCGCATCACTGGACACAGGTCGCACCTCTCCAGCTGGACTCCTGCAACCACGTGTCCTCTGGGCGTCACGTGGAGGGACATGGTGTCCACGGGCTCTTCACTGGCTAGTGACCATTTTGATCACACGGTCAGTGTCCTCTGGTTTTTTGACCATGTGGGCACCATTTTCCCCTTGCAAGTAATAAATCATCTCGGGAGAAAAGAAAGGCTGAGGAACTGCTCCACACTATAGATTCCTCAGGAGACACAGTGACCACAGGCAGGCTAGGATCCCAGAATGGATGCTGGGTTGGAGGGAAAATGCCACGAGCACAACGAGAAGGCTTGCTTTGTTGAGCATTGTATCAATGTCCAATTACCTGGATTTGGTACCTGCACTGTGGTTTTGTAAGAGAATGTCGTTGAATATAGGAAATACACACTAAAGGGTTATGGAACCAAGAGACATAATGGATGCAATCCATTCTAAAAAGATTCGGGGAAGAAATCTGTATAGATATAAAAAAACTAAAAGGTACATTTCTGCCATGTGGTGTGAACTAGTGTGATTTCTTTCTACTTTTCCCCATTTCCCAAATTTTCTATGACATATTCTGTTTATATAATAGGGAAAATGGGCTTTGTCAAAAGTTTTCTCAAAAAGTGAAATCTTGACGAACAGCAGTCATTGATGATCTTGTAAAACGTGGAGAAAGCCTGCTTTGTTTTTAAGCCCCAAAGCAGATCACAAATTGCACACTGAGTTTGTTTTCCGATGGTGCAGATGAGGCCGACAACCACACCCCAGGACGCAGGTGGCGAAAGGTTTTTTTCTCCAGATGTTCCCACGTGTCCCAGTTTCCTATCACGCACGTGTCGCTTCTACAACCAGGTGCCCGGAGGGAGCTTTCTTGTTCAGAGGCTACAACGACGGCTTCCTCATGGGACACGCACTGGCTTTTCTTTTCCGACAGGTTCAGGGGTGCATCTGGGGGCCTGTGGCTTGCTTCTGCTCAGGACCCCTTCCTTCTGGGAATGCTCCTCTCCCTCTCTCCCCCTAGATCACTCTGGAACCCCCCCACCCGCTTCTCCAGGAGCTGGGGCGAGAGAGGGCTCTGTACTCTGCAGCCCGGGCTGAGATGGTGTCAGACCTGGGGAAGGCCGGTCAGCGGGTGGAGCCCGAGGCCACATGGGGCCTGCAGAGATGAGAGGCAGGGAGGGGCCAGAGACCTCTCTGACAGCCTAGAAAATCCAGATTCCTGGGGGTCCTGAAGCAGCTCCTTAATCCTGCGCGCTGCCCGAGCCAGTGCCGAGGGGCTTCTGTCGCTTGCTTTGCTCATGTGGGACCACTCAGCTTCCAGGACCAGGCCCTGGCCAGTGCCCAGAGGGCCGGACAGGCTTCAGTGGTGCCAGGGCTGGGCCGGCACGAGGTGCGGAGGGCTGAACTCAGGCTGGCCTGAGGCCCCAAGCGCGCATGTGGTCTGTCCCTCCACTAACAGCCCCAGGGGGACGGTGCAGATACCACTCAGTCTGCCTGCTCCCAGCCACACTCTCCTTGAACAGCCCTGCACTGTGTTCATCACCTCTTCTGATATTAACCCCCAGAGAGGCTGTGTTTCCAGAGGAAGGAGCTGGGACATGGAGAAGGCAATCACCACGCCTCATTCAGTCAAGCCTGACTGCGCTGTGCTGACAGATGGGCACTGAATCGCCCCGCTGGAAGCCAGAGGTCCCTGTTCACCACTGGTCAGCGGCTCTGCTCTGCCCGTCTTCCTCCATCCAGGGCCAACAAAACAGATGCCACTGGAATGCTGCTGCTGGTCGCTGCGGGTGCAGGACAGAAAGGCGGACGAAGCCCGCTGGGTCTTCCCAGTTCCCTTTTACTGCCCTGAGCAGCTGGGGCCTACAGTCCTGTCATGACGTAGGGGGAGGGATGAAGGGCCGAGCACAGTGGACAGGCCTTCCAGCGGGCGGCTGGGTGGCAGCAGCAGGGCCAGGAGGGGAGGAACCAGGTAGTCTGAACCCCCACCAACAGCCTAAACAGTTTTCTCTTTGGGACCAAAACCAGCTTCAGAATGCAAGAGCTGAAGCCGGAGTAGCCCTGAGCTTCCTCAGTACCTGCAACCTGCAACCCGCAACCTTCCCAACTCTGGACTCCCCGCCAACCCCGGGGCCCCTCTGGAGCCTCTCCCGCAATCCCGCCCAAACGGGGCTCCCCGCACCAGTCTCCTGCCAGCCCACCCTATGTGTTGAGGCTTTTCGCTGCAGAGGCATCAGTAAACGCTGAGTACATGCCCACCACGCACTGCATTTATTTGTAACAAATTATAAAAATCATAAAGCACACATAAAAATTAAAACATCTTAAAAAGATGATCTAGGGACTTCCCAGGTAGTCCAGTCGTTAAGACTGCGCACTCCCAGTGCAGGGGGCCTAGGTTCGATCTTTGGTCAGGGAACTAGATCCTGCATGCCGCAACTAAGAGCCGGAAAGCCGCAACTAAAGATCTCCCGTGCAGAAACAAAAAGATCCCCCACGAGGCAACTAAGATCCCGTGTGCTGCAACTAAGACATGGCGCAGCCAAATAAGTAAATAAAGAAATAAATATTAAAAAAAATGGTCCAAAAACTAGAAATAAGCTTGCCGACGCATCACAAGGGAAAACCTCCAGTATCCTGAGGGCTACCCTTAGCAAAAGCAACACTCCGAAAACGCCAGCCCGACTTCCGCTCCTGAACCTTCGCTCCCACAAGCCACGAGGCACTCCAGGGGACTCACCTGAGCGCAGGCATCCGGAGAGCCACTGCGGCCACTTCCCACGAACGTTATCCACGTCCGGGCCTGTGCTCTAGCCTCTTCTCACAGCACCATAACCAGAGAAAACACCCACTAAGCTCGTAGCCCAAAACTCTTGAATGGTCTTCTGCTCCTGCTCTCCCAGGATCAGGCGCCCCCTTGCGGCGCCCCGCCCTTGCGGCGCCCCGCCCTTGCGGCGC